GGGCAACTTTCAATTGAAATGAAGGAATGCGATAGTGGATACAGCGGAGAAATGTCCTTCCCCCACCATTTGCCTTCACTCTTCCTCCAAGATTGGTATACAGTGTCGGACAGATGTCTACGTCCACATAGTCGCGTCAATTTCATTTTCAAATTGTCACTGAACTACTGAACCAATTTTCATCATTGATATATCAAATTCTCACAAATTTAACGTAATTTCATAGCACATTATTAGTTTTCCGCTAAAAAATTTATTTTAGGCCAGAGATGTATTTTAATTCAAAATGAAAACAATTGGATGGACAAAAGTCAACGTCCAGTCAGAGAAAACATACAAAAAAAACTGTAATTTATAAGGAATGTTATAACAATTAATTTTTAATATTTGGTTGGGCCTCCGTTCGCTTTAAGGACGGATTCAAGGCGTCGAGTCATAGAGTTTACCAAATTCTTGGTCACATCTTCAGAAATGGTTTCCCAAACTTCAAGAATTCTGGATTTTAGGCCCGGAATTCCTGAAAAAGATTGTTTTCTTATTTCTCTTTCAATGTGGTCCCACAGATGCTCAATGGGATTCAAGTCTGGAGATTGGGGAGGCCATTCTAGCTTCGAAATTTTTTTTTCTTGAAGTATTCCATGGTGGACTTGGCAGAGTGTTTCGGATCGTTGTCTTGTTGGAAGACAAATCGTCGTCCAAGTCCAAGTTTTCGAACAGATTCCTGGATATTACGGTCAAGTATTCCCTGGTACTTGTATTGGTCCATAATTCCGTCAACAAATTCCATTTTTCCTGCCCCACTTGAAGCCATGCATCCCCACACCATTACCGACCCGCCGCCGTGCTTAACTGTGGGGTTGAGATTTTTTGGATTCAAAGCTTCTTTTGGATATCTCCACACTCTACGACGCCCATCTGACCCAAAGACATTGAACTTTGACTCGTCAGTCCATAAAATATGTCCCAGAATGTTTGTGGCTTGGAAATGTGGTCTCTGGCAAACTTCACTCGTTTGGTTGCATTCCTCGGTACAATAAGAGGCTTCCGGACTGCTCTGTGGGATTTCAAATTTCCCTTGTTCAGTGTTCTTTGGATGGTCCTAGGACTAACTTGTTTGTCGAACATCTCCTTGATCTCGGTAGATAGCTTTGGAGCACTAAGTGAGGGTGTAACGTTGACTTTGTTGAGCACGTGGCGTACTTCTCGGTGAGCCAAAATCGGTTTTCGACCACTTCTGACCTTGTTTTGGACTGAACCATTAGCTCTAAAGTTCTTAATGATTGTCTGGATGGTTGCCCTTGCTAATTTATACTTGGTCCCTATTTGTCTCTGCGACAGCCCCCCTTTTTGTCCACCCTTCCAGTCCTGAATGACAAGATCTCGAATAGCGATAGGAATTTCCTTGCGTGTCGACGCCATCATATTTTTCTGGAAGAAAATTATTTAAAAATTAATGCGGCATATGTTATTGATAGATTTATTAAGTTACCTGATTTTATAAATTGGAGAGATTTTTGTTGTTGACAATTAAAGTGAAGTGGACGTAGACTTTTGTCCGCTCAAATTTCATCCTCTCTCGCTCTGCACTATGATTCTCAGTTTTCCCAGAATTTTCAGAAATAACTCATATGTTTTATGAAATTACGTTAAATTTGTGAGAATTAGATATATCAATGATGAAAATTGGTTCAGTAGTTCAGTGACAATTTGAAAATGAAATTGACGCGACTATGTGGACGTAGAGATCTGTCCGACACTGTATATGTACATGCGACGAGCACAAGAAATGAATCCCGGTCTTGCCCTTTCTTTCTCTCTTTCTCTCCAAGTCGGGCATACTTTTGCTTTACACTTCCATCCACACCCATATCTCTCCCAGTTTGAACCACCCTTTTTTTGCTTTGAGCCAAGAAATACAAAGCAAAGTGTAAAGTGTATTTTATACACATACATACATACAGACGACGTGGTCATAAGTATGCAGGGAAGGCTAGCAAAACGGTGCTATTAAGCATAGTGCAGCAAAGGATGAGTTTGAGTCTCTTCACGCCTGAATCGCCACCTTTTCCATTTTCGCCAATTCTTATTAAATTGCTCTGTCAGAATATCTGAAATAGCCTCGGCCGGAGCGGGTATACATATGGAGGAGTTGACGTGAGTATGTAAAGGAATCCGCACCACCACCTCCATCAAGACGTTTCCTCTCGTCTTAGCGTCCTGATTCAACCCTTTCTTTAAAAATCCTGGAGCTTATAATTCTTTCCCTCTTATTTTCATTCACCAGCCCTAATAACTGGCCCCACATGGAGATTAGCAATGATCACAGGCTGAATAATATAATGGTGACATGTAAGTACATAGTCTTTACTTATTTGCAATTCCTAGTAATTTCAACTGTATGATAGTGTAAAGGTAGACACAATTAGACTTTAGTTCAAATAAGTATGTTTACAATATAAACACCTGAAGGCATATTTAATACTGGAAAGAATGTTTTCTTGTGAAATACGTATCTCCAGCCAGTAATCTAATCCGACACTTAACACATTGAAAACTTGACATAATTTCTGAGGAAATTAAAGATGATGATGAGAAATGAAAAATATGTGGACCTTATACGTATAGGTATATTTAAAATGGTTAAACTAATGCATTCATTCCATTTCTATATTAAAATCGGTGGATGGATGTGTGAGCGAGCCAACCCGTGGTGTTTATTAATATCTCATTAATCAAGCATTTAGACGCGTTTGATAAGGATCTGACGTGTAGGCAGAGAAGAGATTAACCCTTTCGCCCTTGTTCAATTTGTTATGCCATGGCCCTCCTTTTGTAAACGCTTCTTTGGTTCTCATCCTCTATGTCTTTTATTTTCAAAACTCATTTGCATTTTGGCATCCATTAAGTAATAAATGCTCTCAAGAGGCTGGGTACTTAAAATCAGTTAATCCGAAAAGCAGTGATGTAACCACGATTGGAGTTAGCCTGGCTCAAAGCAGAGAAGAATAAGGATCTACTTCCGTGGCGATACTGCCTTTGTCTTTCACGCCAAGAATGGGAGAGTGAGAGGAGGAGTAGGAGGCCACCATGCACGTATGTACGTACATACAATGCATGCATGCACGTAGTTAAAAGTGGAGCTTTTAAGATTAACAATATGACAAAGCAGATTATAATTGTGCTTTTGTCAGAAACATTATGGAATGTGAATTGTGATGAGTCACACGTCTCATCTCATCTTTCTTTGGAAGTAATCACTCCGCATGCCAGTTAAAATCTGTGGGTTGGTTGGTGGATAGTGTTCACTAGTCACCGCACCGGTCGTCGTCGACCAAGAACTTGCTGCACAGGTCGATTATGCATGATGATGAGTGAATGTGGATTTGGGAATATGAGTGACGTGGTATTGGCCAAAGGATCAAAATCCTGATTGTGCTTACCTCCCACAGCGAGTGACAATACTTGTGATACATCAAACCTTCTCGTCCAATGTGGAACAACGCCCCGTCGAACGAATGCTACATTATGCTTTCTATAACATAAACCATATTCTGTAATAATCTATTAGGCCAGAGATATGTTTGCGTCTATGTGTACTTCACCATATAAGTAAATACTACGGATATGTTTCATAATGTAAAAGATTCAATATTCCAGGGCACGTTTTGTCATCATTTTCCAGCCAGGATTCGCAATTATAATGACAAATATGTACGGGTTAGATGCATCATCATTTCCTAAATTAACCTGTGCTTTAACCTAAATATCCAAGAAAGCGTAAACAGTGAACAATAAATTATTGTACATGCATATATAAATATAATAGATTCTGAGGAGAAAGCACAAGGAATGGCTAAATCGGGCGTAAAATAATGTCTCTGAATCTATATGAAAAATCTGTGATAAGAAAATGGAAATATTGTCAGACAACTTGATTAGCAAAATGTCATTAAAGGAGCAACACAGCGAAACGCAATTTTCATTATTTTTCATGGAATCTTTCCATGATTAGCCTACCGAGTCGGATGGAATGGCTTATGGTGTAAGTTTAAAAGCACTAGGCAAGGAGTAAAAAAAGTATACAAGGAAATGAGTAGAACGTATTTAGGAGTGGATGGCGATGGGCATCAATTCAATTTAATTACCCTGCCTCTCCCATTCTGATTAGGACGAAATGAATGAGTAAAAAAAGTTGGAGAAAGTTTAATCAAGCAGGAGTTGCTTCTATGTTAAAGGAAAAATGCAAACCACGGAATGGAAGGAGAGTTGATGTAAAGGTCGTAAAGAGAGAACTTTTAATTAATCTTAAATTAAATTGTGAGCTTCTTTCGGGGTATCACATCAGACGAAGACGAAGAGAGTGGTATCAACGGCGACGCTTTTGATGAAAAAAGGATTAAACCCGTTTGGTCTCTCTGTTCTGGTGGAAATGTTTTAGAATTTTTCCCTCGTTAATGTCGTCCCCTCTTCTTAACCATTCAATTATATACTTCTTCTCGATCTCTCATTAGAAGTGGAGAGCCTGCTTTTTTCTCTCGTTTTATAATAAAACTCTCTCATTTTCGGCTCCGTCATCAGAATCAGAATTACGACAGAGTAGGGTATCATAAACTTGAGTTTAGTTAGACCCCAAGTGCTGCAGCAGAGCAGCTTCGACTTTGTTTGGCCGGGTTGCTTATGGATGGATGGAACTTTTTTCTCTATAAAAGTCTTAATCACATTTTTTTCTCCTTTAATCCACCAAACTTCCCTCATTCAATTTTATTAAGTCCTTGCATGTCAGAGTCATCAAAGCAACCTATGCCACAAATTTGTCGGATTTAATTAGACAAGCAGCAGACCCGCAGAAACCTGGTTGGTGTTGCTCACTGGGAAATGCAAATTATTTATGAAAACCAATTCTTTGCCCGGTGCCGTCTCACTGTGGATCAATATATAAGTAAACTTTTTTTCCAATTAGCTCAGTTTTAATTCGACGCTTTATTTTTCCCCATTTCCAGATTGCTTGGTCGTGGATCAATGCACGTTTTCTCATCAGCCCAGTTTCAAAGTCTTGTTGCTTGGGATCCCGAGGCACCAAAATTTCAGCGTCTTTTGGATATTGGTGCGGGTGACGGACTGACAACTCAACGAATGGAGACTTGCTTTAATGAAGTCTTTGTTACCGAAATGTCCAGCCCCATGAAATGGTGAGGTTACTTCTAATAATATTAAACTAATTGTAAGACGCACTATTTTATTAATTTAATTTACAGCAGTTTATTGATGTTTCAGGTCATTGCAGAAAAAGGGATATACGTAAGAAAACGTTTGATTATGATCGCTCTTTCATTGTTATTCTCCTAGGCATCATTTCGATTGAAGTAGAATTTAGGATTAGTGGTTTTTAATTAAGTAGATTAAGTCATTTTCTTGATGGAGCTTCCAATTTAATTACCATAAACTAAGCAATATTAGAGGAGGAATAAGTTTTCAACTTGTATTTAACTTTCCCCGTAGTTTTTCGACTCTTTGCTTAACAAAAACTTGTAGACGAAGGATCATTCTTCATATATGTATCGATACTAAGTAATTAATCACGGCATAATGAAGAATTTAATCATTAATTCAATTAATTGAGAAGAATGCTGATATAAATTCTCAATAACTGCCATGATTTTGTAGAATCAGTTAATTTCATGTAAACCAATGTTTAATCAATTTGTTGCAGGGTTTTGAACGAAACGTCATGGTCAGAAACAGAAGCACGTTACGATATTGTAAGCTGCTTGAACGTTCTAGACCGGTGTGACACCCCGCTGGAACTACTTGACAATATTTCCAAAGTTCTTCAACCACAGGAGGGCTTAGCCGTAGTATCGTTCGTAGTTCCCTTCAATCCCTACGTTGAATTTGGTATGAACACATTTAAACATTAATTTTCGAATGTTTAATAAATAACTTATATTACAGAGAGCGCAACCCATATTCCATCCGAAATTCTTCCGATTAAAGGCAATAGTTTTGAAGAGGAGGTCAACAATTTTATAGAGAAAGTTTTAAAACCGAAATGGGAAGTGATTCGGTGGACAAGACTGCCTTATTTGTGCGAAGGAGACATTAAACAAGCGTTTTACTGGCTGAATGACGCAGTTTTTGTGATTCGACCAATCAATCAGACTTGACAGTGGCCATTAATTAATTTTGTCTACATAAATAATTGGTTGTTATTTCATCCTTGGTAAAAATCGAGAAATTAATAAACTATATGTAGCAATTAAATCGTAATCGAATAAAACGATTAGTTTACAAAGATCAGTATATATATAATATATTTACAATATATACAGTAGCGTACGAATTTGTAGATTGTACGAATCTTGCTTATTTTGTCCACGATACTTTAGGTATGTCAAAGTGTTCAGTTAAATTATCCAGATGCTTATTAAACTCTTCGACTCTCATTTTATGTGTTTTTGAAGCCTTTTCAATGATTTTCTTGTCTTTCTAAAAACAGCATACAATAAATTCACATTACTCCACGCAACACTGCAATTATAAGATTTTATTTTGATATAAAAAACAAATTCTTACAATCTTCTCCTGCATTTGTAGAAATCTTAGTTCCGCCTTGGTTTTGTGCATGAGTGGATTCCGTTCTCGAATCTTGGCTTCAATTGCTGCGTCGATATCGTTTTGAGAGGATGCACCACCCCCACCATCGCACCCACTTGTTTTACTCTTCGAACCTCCAGCAATGTCTGTCAGGTCCTCAGTCTTCTTCTTCTTCTTCCTGAAATACGTTACATATATGAGTAATTAGTTATTGATTTATGTTATGTCAGCACGCCATCGGATATTAAACTCGGAGGATAAAAATTACGTTAAATACTAAGTTTAGTTTACTTTTTAATAGTGTGATCAATTTTTTTCAGCTTCAGTCCTCCCGACCGTGGAACAATGTCGTATTCCGACGACATTTTGCAATCTTCTTCCTAAGCTGGTTAAACTGTGAACTGCAAACTGTAAATTTAAACTGCTCATTGCAAACCTGTGTAAATAATAATTAATAGGATAAAATGGAAGAAGAGGGGCTCACTTTGTAGTACTTCGAAGAGTCCAGATTAGGGCCTTTTGTCAAAATAAATAATAATTAATAGTTGAAATTGATGTTATGCAGCATAACTTATGCTAGTGAAGTGAAAGTTTCTCGGTGAAACTGTGAAAACCTCACCCTTATGTTGACGAATATGTCGGGTACTGTTGTGACTACCAGACAAATTCACTTGGGGACAATTGAGGCTTAGAGTTTCTTGAAATTTTTACACTCCAGAGTTTATTTCCAAAATTTATTTAAAACATGTGACAAAATATTTTGTTAACTGTTGCGTTTGAGATTTACTTGGTTTGAACGGGGCGGTGTATGCACAGAGAGACGTGAGAGCAATCTGGCCATAGAACGCTGAACCTTTCCACGCGTCTCTCAAGCACCCGGCACAAAACGTGCTGTATAATATCCAGCTAGATCCGCAATTTAAGAAATTTGCAAATTTCTTCAATTTCAAAAAATGCTGTGAATTACTCTAAATGGTCAATGTTAAAGAAGGCAGTGCGTCCTGGTAAACTTGACACATTTTCACTCTAACTCACTTTTGTCAAAGGTAAGTAACTTATTAGCAATTTATGTACAGAAAAACGAAAAATTTATTCAATGAGTATTATTCATTGTCTCAGTTCTTTTTCTTTTCAGAATTATTCTAGTTCCAAGAGTGAAGAAGCAAAATGTTTCTCTATAACTTGACATTGCAGCGGTCCACTGGAATAACCCATGCCATTCATGGAAATTTCAGTGGTTCCAAACTTCAGGAGATTATAGTTTCTCGGGGGAAGCTGCTGGAAATCTTGCGGCCAGACCCAAACACTGGCAAAGTTGTTACGCTCCTTAGCGTAGACGTATTTGGCGTAATTAGATCTCTAATGGGATTCAGATTAACGGGTGGTTCGAAAGGTATGTCGAGGAAGTGGATGCTGTATTGCATTGATAATATTTAATATGCGGTTACATGAGGTTTATCCTTTGTGCTCCTTATATTCAGATTACATTGTACTGGGCTCGGACTCTGGTCGTATTGTAATATTAGAGTACAATCCAATAAAAAATGCGTTTGATAAAGTTCACCAAGAAACTTTTGGGAAAAGTGGGTGCCGTCGCATTGTTCCTGGACAGTATTTAGCTATCGATCCTAAGGGCAGGGCGGTTATGATTGGTATGTTTGCATAATTTTGTAAATATAACAATGGATGAACTTTTCTAATGTGACTTGTTTAAAATAGGGTCAGTTGAAAAACAGAAATTGGTTTACATTTTAAATCGAGATGCACAAGCACGTCTGACAATTTCTTCTCCACTAGAAGCCCATAAAAGTAACACGTTTGTCTACCATATTGTGGGCGTAGATGTGGGATTCGAGGTAAGCAAAAGTTAACTCATTTTCAGCGTGTCTGATATCTGTTGGCATTTTGAACGACAGTTTCACCTCATATCATTACTACATGTCCCATTTTTTGTTTCAGAATCCAATGTTTGCCTGTCTTGAAATGGATTATGAGGTACGTCTTTCATTTGTCTTTCTGTTAATATACGAATGTAAATAATCGGTGTAATTTACAAAGGTAAATAGTAAACAGGATGAGAAACAGTACATTAATTATATGAATTACATTGATTTACATATACTTGGATCGACTGGCTGAGCAAATACTACTTCTCAGAATTGTTTTCTATTTTGACGATAACTACCTACCACACTATCTAATAATTGCACAATGTGTTTTAATGTCATTCACAGGAAGCTGACATTGATTCAACGGGCGAAGCTGCTCAAAATACGAAGCAGACGCTCACGTTTTACGAGTTAGATTTGGGGCTTAACCATGTTGTGAGAAAATACAGTGAACCACTTGACGAGCATGCAAACTTCCTTATAACTGTGCCTGGAGGAAATGATGGTCCAAGCGGAGTTCTAATTTGCTCTGAAAACTACATCACTTACAAGAATTTAGGAGATCAACCTGATATTCGATGTCCCATCCCTAGACGAAGGGTACGTTGAAATTGTTATAATTTTACTATTTATTAGAATAATTTTGCTTGCCATGCACTATGGTATCTCCAATCTTTTGCCAAAACAAATTATTGGTCGAAGCTGTGCGAAATTAAATGCAATACTTCATCGTTGGAAGGAGACTGTATATTGGGTCTTTTTCTTGGTCATTATGAATTGCTACACCGTGAACAAGACAAATGTTGTTTGCTTTGTCTTTGTATTATTGCAACTAGCTATTAAATTATATTAGTATGATCTTACTTATTACTCCACAAAGTTCAATTATTAATTGAAATGTTTATCTTGCAGAATGATTTGGACGATCCAGAACGAGGAATGATATTTGTGTGTTCCGCCTCTCATAAAACAAAAAGGTATAATTAGTAATTATTATTGAAATTATTAATATTTGGAAAACATTATGCAAAATTAGGAGTTATCAGACAATAATGGACATGTGAATTAGAAATTCGAAACTGGCAACATCGTGTTGCACAATAAAATCACAAGCTTGACGCCTAGAAAACTTTTAGTGACTTGCATCAACCGATTGTATCGAAATGGAGTCCTTCAGAAAGCCGATAGTGCTGATATGTTATATTTCTAAGTATCTTTGATTTTTTTTCTGTTCACCAGCATGTTCTTCTTCCTTGTTCAAACAGAACAAGGGGACATCTTCAAAATAACATTGGAGATCGACGATGATATGGTGACCGAAATCAAGCTGAAATATTTCGACACAACTCCTGTCGCAACCTCCATGTGTGTACTAAAAACCGGCTTCTTATTCGTCGCATCTGAATTTGGCAACCAGTATGTACCAATAGCTTAACATTAAAGTTTATTGTTTATGTGATGACATGGTGTACATGTAATTTCATTGATATCTACTTGCAGCTATTTGTATCAAATTGCTCATTTGGGCGATGATGACGACGAGCCCGAGTTCAGCTCTGCCATGCCATTAGAAGAAGGAGATACATTTTTCTTTGCTCCCCGACATTTAAGGAATCTCGTACTTGTTGATGAAATGGACTCGCTGTCACCGATCGTAACTTGTCAGGTTGCTGATTTAGGTTAGTTTAAGTCCAGTCGTCCTTTTTAGCTCCAATTATTATAACCATTATGCCTCGGTTGTCTGTCTGTCTCACCGAAGCGGAAGCACATGAAGACCCATAAATCAAGTCAACATATGATTTTAATTTATTGATTTGTTACAGCTAATGAGGACACGCCACAGCTGTACATGTTATGCGGCCGAGGTCCAAGATCAACAATGAGGGTGTTGAGACACGGGCTCGAAGTAACTGAAATGGCTGTTTCTGAACTTCCTGGTAAATAGCATATATTTGTTATCCAATTGTAATGTTGGTTTACAACTAATATTTCAATTACATTTGTATCATTAAATCCCTACAGGTAATCCAAATGCTGTATGGACAGTTAAACGACGATCTGATGGTAAGATAATCGATACCTCATATATTACAGAAATCTAATTTACCCTTTTAAATAATATAATCACATGATGTTTATACATGTTAGACTTCTGAGAATCTTGTTGAATGACGTTTTATGTTGCTGACGACTTTAATTATTTATTTAACTTGATCTAAAGTAAAATTAGAAGATTTTGCATATACAATAATACCGAATTTTTATATTTTGTCAGATGACTTTGATTCGTACATTATTGTATCATTCGTCAACGCTACGTTGGTCCTTTCCATTGGTGAAACTGTGGAGGAAGTTACGGATTCTGGGTTTCTTGGGACTACTCCAACATTATCATGCTCTGCTTTAGGAGAAGACGCACTAGTTCAGGTATTAATTAATTTTTATACTAACTAACTTGTTTAATTGATTGTTACCTTTTTCACTGGATATGATGTGAATTTTTTGTCCGTGTTTCACCTGACTTTAATGATTACATTATACAAATCTGATTGCTAGTGATTAAGTATTCATTCTTGCTGTGAGATCTTAATCTACTTTGAACCTTTGATTTATTAGTCTTTTTTGATGACAGATTTACCCTGATGGAATACGTCATATCAGGGCAGACAAGAGGGTTAACGAATGGAAGGCACCAGGAAAACGCACCATTTTTCGCTGTGCTGTTAATGCCAGACAAGTAGTTATTGCTCTTACCGGAGGAGAACTTGTATACTTTGAAATGGACCCGGTATGATGATAATATTATGATGTTAAAACTAATATTGTGTTGGTCTCATTATGTGTTTCATAATTAGCAAGATTTTTTGTTGGAATATAGACTGGTCAACTCAATGAATACACCGAAAGACGCGAAATGCCTGCCGATGTTGTTTCAATGGCACTAGGGTCAGTTCCTGTTGGAGAGCAAAGGTCACGATTCTTAGCTGTTGGATTAGCAGATAGCACAGTCAGAATAATTTCATTAGATCCATCCGTAAGTAATCAAGTCTTATTAATTTTAGCGTACTTATGTAAAATGTTGTTAATTCGACGAACTGTATTAGATCATAATGTGCTATATTTATAAATATGAAATGCATTCAATGAATTTTGTATTTATTATCGTAGGATTGTCTAAGTCCTTTGAGTATGCAAGCTTTGCCCACTCTACCCGAATCGCTTTGTATCGTTGAAATGGGTGCAACGGAAGACGGGCAACACGGTACTCTGTATCTGAATATTGGTCTCGATAATGGAGTTCTACTCAGGACTGTCCTTGATCCTGTCACTGGCGACCTAGCAGATACCCGCACTAGATATTTGGGATCTCGCCCAGTAAAACTATTTAGAATTCGTATGCAAGGTGGCGAAGCTGTGTTGGCAATGTCCAGTCGTTCCTGGTTGAGCTACAATTTTCAGAACAGGTAAGTTTTTAATAATGCTCTTTAAATTAACGTAAATATTTTTTAATGGTTTACTTTAAATTATTATAGATTCCATCTAACACCACTGTCCTACGAAAGCTTAGAATATGCAGCAGGATTTTCTTCAGAACAGTGCCCAGAAGGAGTTGTTGCGATTTCAACCAACACACTCAGAATTCTGGCCATGGAAAAATTGGGAGCCGTTTTCAACCAGATGTCATTCCCTCTTGAATATACTCCCAAAAAACTTTCAATTCAACCAGAAACTGGGCACCTTGTGATTCTCGAGACAGATCACAATGCATACACAGACAACATCAAGAAACAACGTCGAGTTCAAATGGCAGAAGTAAGTGTCATTTACTTTTTTAACAAACGATTCTTACGATTAATGTTATAAGCATGATGAGGGTATAGCACTAATACTCACTAATATGTTTGTTTCTGAGTTTTTTTTGTTGACAAATGCCCCCGACTGATTTTTTAATGAATATAAACTTATAAACTCAAACGTCGCAAATATTATCGGTTGTATAAATGAGTTTTGTTTGCAAATATTTAGGAAATGAAAGAAGCCGCAGGCCCGGATGAACAGGAGTTGGCACAGGAAATGGCTGATGCATTTCTCAATGAAGATCTCCCAGAAAACATGTTTTCGGCTCCCAAAGCTGGTCCAGGTACAAATCGGTTAACAAATACTTCATAATCATCTCATGGGAAGTATCTATGTAGCATATTCTGTAATTTTGCAGGAATGTGGGCAGCATTGCTGAGAATTATGGACCCCATTGAAGGAAAATCCCTATTTGTACATCGATTCGAGCAGAACGATGCGGCAATTAGGTAACTAAACTAATTATCACTACGTTTTGCAAAGTAAAATGATACAAACAATTTGTTGTAAATGTAATATTTATTGAATTTGTTTTATTTCCAGTTTAGCATATTGCAAATTTAATGCACAAGGGGAATTCAGTCATTTCGTTGTGGTTGGAGTCACAAAAGATCTCCAACTCTCTCCCAGATCAGCAGGTGCAAGTTTTCTATATACGTTTAGGTAAGTATTAGATTTATGCATGTACAATGTAAACAATTTTTATAACTGAAAATACGCAATATATAACCATTTTGCAGGATGAGTGCGGAAGGTACAGAATTGGAATTTTTGCACAAAACCTCTATTGAAGACATCCCAGTTGTTCTTCATCCATTCCAAGGCAAATTGCTGGTTGGAATGGGAAAAACCTTACGAATGTACGATTATGGCAAAAAGAAACTGCTAAGAAAGTGTGAAAATAAGGTAAGAATTACACTCTCGTCAATTTGTTGTAGAATATTTTCTAAATGATGACACGAATGCAATCCTAAGAATTGTGTGGACATTTTGTGTTCTGCAGTACTGATTTAATACTTTTGATGACTATCGGACATAATAGCTTTTGCTATAACCTACAAAATAACTTTATTATTTTCAGAATTTTCCAACCACCATTGTTCACATGTCTTCAATAGGAACCAGAGGTAAGTCGAAGTGATACTAAATTGAAATATTTATTAGGATTTATTGTAACACGGTTTGGGAGAGATGTTGCTTACCATTCATTTGTCACTCACTTCACTTTTACCTTTCAGTTTTTGTCGGCGATATCCAAGAAAGTGTCCATTACGTAAAATACAAACGACAAGATAATCAATTGGGTGAGTGAGTTTAATTAAACAAATGCATTCAAAACGAGTCTACTTTTTAAAGAACGTATGTGTTCAACGTTACAATTGAATTAAACATCGTTCGGTTATTGTTTGTTGCTCCAGTTATTTTTGCAGATGAAACTAATCCTAGATGGATAACTGCGACAGCTGTATTAGACTACAATTCCGCTGCAGTCGCAGATAAGTTTGGGAATATTGGGGTGGTAAGTCCATTTCATTTGCTAAAAAAAGTAATATGGACAACACTAACAGATTATGTAATAGCATAATTTTGTTATTTAGCTTCGGCTACCAAATAATACAGATGACGATGTTGATGAAGATCCATCTGGCACCAAAGCATTGTGGGATCGTGGTCTATTGAGCGGAGCGTCAAATAAACTTGAAGTATACAACAATTTCCATGTTGGAGAGACTATCTTATCACTACAGGTATTCAATAATATGAATCTATACTGAATTGTTTCTCATTTGCTCCTTGTAAATTTGTTTAGAAATCAACTCTCATCCCTGGTGGAAACGAGTCACTCGTATACACGACTCTCTCAGGGAGTGTTGGAATAATTGTTCCTTTTACGTCTAGAGAAGATCATGAATTCTTTAGAGATTTAGAAATGCATATGCGTAGTGAAAATTCCCCTTTGTGTGGCAGGGACCATTTATCCTATCGATCGTATTATTTTCCAGTCAGAGTAAGTTCTGCATTATTATATTCTTATTTATCATTACCAGTTTTTTTAAGAGCTTGTGTAAATTGTGTAAATTGTGAATTTCAGAATGTCATTGACGGAGATTTGTGTGAGCAATATAACTCTATAGACCCAAGCAAACAAAAAAGCATCGCAGAGGAGCTAGACCGAACACCGAATGAGGTTGCCAAAAAATTGGAGGATATTCGAACTCGTTATGCATTTTAATTACGTGGACGTTTTTAATTTATTTTTATATAAATAAGTGTTGTTTAATTTTACTTATGTGATGCATTTTGTACGAATGGGTTTGTTTTAAAAAACTCAAATAAACCAGTTATCAAACACTTTGAATCATTCATAAAAAATAAGTTCAAAAAGTATACATTTGTTTAATATTTCTTAATCCAATTGATAGACTTGCATTCATACAAATGGTATCACTCATATCAGTCATTTAATTGCATGCATAAATGGATAATTTTATTATTACTACAGTGTCGGACAGATGTCTACGTCCACATAGTCGCGTCAATTTCATTTTCAAATTGTCACTGAACTACTGAACCAATTTTCATCATTGATATATCAAATTCTCACAAATTTAACGTAATTTCATAGCACATTATTAGTTTTCCGCTAAAAAATTTATTTTAGGCCAGAGATGTATTTTAATTCAAAATGAAAACAATTGGATGGACAAAAGTCAACGTCCAGTCAGAGAAAACATACAAAAAAAACTGTAATTTATAAGGAATGTTATAACAATTAATTTTTAATATTTGGTTGGGCCTCCGTTCGCTTTAAGGACGGATTCAAGGCGTCGAGTCATAGAGTTTACCAAATTCTTGGTCACATCTTCAGAAATGGTTTCCCAAACTTCAAGAATTCTGGATTTTAGGCCCGGAATTCCTGAAAAAGATTGTTTTCTTATTTCTCTTTCAATGTGGTCCCACAGATGCTCAATGGGATTCAAGTCTGGAGATTGGGGAGGCCATTCTAGCTTCGAAATTTTTTTTTCTTGAAGTATTCCATGGTGGACTTGGCAGAGTGTTTCGGATCGTTGTCTTGTTGGAAGACAAATCGTCGTCCAAGTCCAAGTTTTCGAACAGATTCCTGGATATTACGGTCAAGTATTCCCTGGTACTTGTATTGGTCCATAATTCCGTCAACAAATTCCATTTTTCCTGCCCCACTTGAAGCCATGCATCCCCACACCATTACCGACCCGCCGCCGTGCTTAACTGTGGGGTTGAGATTTTTTGGATTCAAAGCTTCTTTTGGATATCTCCACACTCTACGACGCCCATCTGACCCAAAGACATTGAACTTTGACTCGTCAGTCCATAAAATATGTCCCAGAATGTTTGTGGCTTGGAAATGTGGTCTCTGGCAAACTTCACTCGTTTGGTTGCATTCCTCGGTACAATAAGAGGCTTCCGGACTGCTCTGTGGGATTTCAAATTTCCCTTATTCAGTGTTCAGAGCCCCCCTTTTTGTCCACCCTTCCAGTCCTGAATGACAAGATCTCGAATAGCGATAGGAATTTCCTTGCGTGTCGACGCCATCATATTTTTCTGGAAGAAAATTATTTAAAAATTAATGCGGCATATGTTATTGATAGATTTATTAAGTTACCTGATTTTATAAATTGGAGAGATTTTTGTTGTTGACAATTAAAGTGAAGTGGACGTAGACTTTTGTCCGCTCAAATTTCATCCTCTCTCGCTCTGCACTATGATTCTCAGTTTTCCCAGAATTTTCAGAAATAACTCATATGTTTTATGAAATTACGTTAAATTTGTGAGAATTTGATATATCAACGATGAAAATTGGTTCAGTAGTTCAGTGACAATTTGAAAATGAAATTGACGCGACTATGTGGACGTAGACATCTGTCCGACACTGTAGTTCTACTTGGTTCGGCTGGGTCTATGTACATTTATATGTACTTGATTCTTGGGGTTATTCTCCATAAATAAATTATGATTGGCCATAAGTAAGGTATTTCGCTGCCCAATCTATTCGTCTTAAAGCAGTAGGTTGTTTAGAACTTCCAGATTTTGACGCCGATTCGGATGCTTGCAAAAATGCACTTCTCCGAGTTTCGTATGTTGTTGAAGGATATCCACGTTGTTGGGCGTTGGAATAAGATCCCTCAGCTCTGTTTTGTCCTGACCCCTTGTTCCCAGACACGGAAGCGAAACGTGTTCGGCTTTCCTCTTTAGCTGTATTAACAAAAATATGTATAGCAGAAATGAAAAGTTTTTTATGTAAATTCATATGTACATGCATATTTATGCACATATGTATGTATGTACCTGAGCTCTCATTCTTAAATATCGTGGATTTGACAGGTTGGTTCTGCTGGTATTGAGGCACTGCAGGTCGATACCCGTTTCCAGAAATATACCTCGAAATTTTGTTATCGATCTGATTGTGATTCCTAACAAGGTCCAAAATAATAAATGTTATGTAGGTTATCGTTACAACACGGCATGCGTTTTAACACTGTTTTTCTACCCATCAAACTCGTCCGAAGCAGCAGAAGCATAATAGTCACGTTCCCATTTGGAGTCGAGGATTTTTGTAATTGGTTCGTATACTTCGGCTTTAACGGTCTGGTAAGAAATGGGAACATTCACTGAAACCCGTTGGGAAGGTTGGGTGGTGATGGCGATTTGTTGTGTTGGAATAAGCTCTCCGTTGGCCAAGTTTTCCTCCCTGTCGCGAATATTGTTGAAGAAAGAGTATCGTAAAGACTGATTCGCATTCGGTCGGTGCCTAGGATTCCAACGCAACATGTCCTACACGCCAAAGTATTGCTTTACTAACATGTACACAAGAAATGGTGGTCAAATTTTATGAGTTAATTTTATACCTCTATAAGATATATTGCATCCTTGCTCGCATTTGGGACAAGTTTTGTAAGAGGAGTTGCTTCAAACTGTGGAAACTTGAAATTCATTTGTTTGGCCAGTTGATGTCCTTCAGGCCAGCCCTGTACAAAAACAGTCATTTCGGTTATGTGCGGGATAATTAAACTGCAAGTGTAGTTACTTTGTTATTGCTCTGTTCTCAAGTAATCGTAAATTTTAATTGAATACTATTGTTCACCTCTTTAAAATGATTAGTGACAGTGAACTACTACGACAGACACCCAAAGTAGGGGCGGACCTTTTTTTCTGGAAAGACGACAATGACGACATTCACATGAATGTCATGACAGAAGAGGACGTCAATAGTAATTTATATTATTTATAAATTTATTATTTATTACGTAAATCTAATGCAAATAATGTGCTATTTAGGAAATCTCAGTCAAATCTACTTTTCTCTACTTGTTGACACGCACGGGGACATGAGGGACATGACCGTGAATAAAGGAGCTGGAGATGTTTGCCTTGTTAGACAAACAGAGAATATCTCCGGTAAGTTTAAAAGTGAAGCCTTGGACCTTGATGGATGTAAGGTCAAGTACGTGATATATTTATTTAAATAAAATTAATTTTTTTCTCGATATAAAACTTTACCGATACAATGCGAAACTTATAAATTTATAGAGAACTCGAACAACAATGGGGGTGGAAAGTGGAACCCACGTCAACCTATTCATTCCACATTTATTCTGATGATTCATGGTTGGCTGACCAATTGAAATATAAAATTCGGAGGAAGTTTGGAGTCGTTTGCGCTAATGCGCCGTATACTGCGGAAGTCGTTCTGGCCAAACACGCCGAGACAATAGACAACCACCTGAGACAATTTCTAAAACGGATACCAGAAATGAGAGAAGATTACTTTAATAACCCCCCTCCCCCCCCACCAGAAAAATTAGAAAATCCTCGTCCACTACCACCAACACAAGAGAAAGTAAGGTGTCATTTGTGAGGTTTGGCCTTTCTTGGACATGCTCAAACTCTTGCAAATCACTTACAAGTACAATTTTTTCTTTAATTAACTAATTAAATCTGGTCATATTGCAATGAATGTTAATTTTTCTAGTCAAATCACTACTCTGGGATCGATGCCCATCCATGTGGTCTGTGTTCATGCTCTTTTGTGACAGCAGCATCATTACGCATTCATCGAAACGTTACCCACCCAGGGGCAGAGTCACTAAAAAGAACAAAATACGGCATTCCTGATATAAATGAGGAGGACGCAGGTAAATGCGATACCCTATTGCAGATTGTCCAACAAGAAGGGTCAAATAGGAAAAAGTTTAAATGCCTATGGAGGCGAGAAAACGGAAACGAGTGTGGAAAAGTTACTATCGGATTGAATGACTCACGGTAACTAAACTTTATTAGTCGAAGAATTTATTATTTTAATTATAATTTTATTTTGAAAGTGACCACGTCTGCACCCATTTACAATTAAAGCCATACACATGTCCGGAACCCGACTGCGACTACTCTGCATCCTTTTTTCATTCCACGGCCCGCCATTACGAAGTATGACCTCCAATTTAGTTATTTATTGATGTTACATAAACCGTGCATTTTTGTAGAGTCAACATGGACGAGAAGAAGAAGAGGACAAAGACTCTAGCGACCAAGATGACGGACCTCCAAAGAAAAAGATGAATTCCCCGACTTCTAACCTTTAAATGCATCCAACACTAATGACTGCGAATCAAAATCTTTATTTTCAGGGACAGACGATTTTAGGCAATAAGAGTAGTACTAAGAGATAGTATATGGGAATCATTTTGTTTTAATTCGTTCCCAATCAGCTTTTTTTAGAATAGTTTGGTTCAAGGTACGAATAGCAGTCTTTTCTACCATAATTTAAGTTTTGTACTCAGCTTTTTGGCCACTCGGTCTAATAAAAAGTTTCCAGATAAATTCATTGCATAAATTTTTAGACCAAAAATCGACAAACTGCTCCTAATAATTACCTTGTCTGGAGTTCCCATGATTGAGCATATTTTGAACAATTCGTCAATTTCACTTGTCCCCGGAAACAATGGTCGATATGTAAACAATTCTGCAATAATGCACCCAACTGCCCATATATCAATGGGACAAGAATAAAAAGGAGCCTGTGATGCAATAAATATTTAGAATACTAAACCTTTACAAACGACTGTATCATTAATTACCCGTAATAAAACTTCCGGAGCACGATACCTATAAGAAAATAATTTCAGCGTAATATATGTACTTATTAGCTATATACGTATACGCTTTGGCCGGCATTATTGCGCAAAACCAGACATGCAATCTTGCACTTAGGATTAGAAAGCCTTTGTGTTCTTTACATATTTGTGTATTTACCATCTTGTTGAAACGTATTCCGTGTACCTAGAAAATATAACATGCAAATATGTGCAACTGTAAACTTTGGCTTATAATTTCGACTCAGGATTACGGGGGTCGTGAGCGTATTTCTCGGGCGAGTCCGAAATCGGCAATCTTGATTACATCAATGCCCATGCACAACAAGTTTTCCGGTTTGAGATCACGGTGGAAAAAGCCAGATCTATGCATCTACAAAAATAATTTACGGTGGTTTCGTATTAATGCTCCACTGAAGTACATTGACCTTAATTGTGTATTAGTCATTACGAATGCTAAGCCTTGGAGCACTTGGAACATCATCTTTTGGATTATTTCTTCGGGAAAAATTTTCTCCCTGCAAAATCATTTGACGATCAACGTGTCAGTCAGTAATTAAAATTATGAAGACGTTTGTCCTGCACGTTTGCTTACCCCCGTTCATATCGGTTACGCATCAGTTGGTATAAATTTTCTTTCATATATTCAAACACAAAGTAAAGGGTATCATTTTCTCGAATAACTTCCTTGAGCTTGACGACATTGGAGTGACTAAGCTTTCTCAGAGACTGTAAGGAGAATGCAAACAAAAGTATTATTTATTAATTATCATGAGTGGGAGAATTCAGCCAAGGTCAAGTCAAAAACATTCAGGTTGTTATGCTCGTTAACAAAATTGTGGATAAAACAATAAGCAAGCATCGACATAGCTTATTCCCAGAAAACGAACGCATTTGCGATATCATACATACATAAAGAGCTGCTATTACCGATACTGTCCTCAAATATCGATTTATGACATCCTAATTCGCATAATGTGTCGAACTTTCCTGCCAACACGCATATCACGGAACTCGAATAATATATGTATGTATAGTCCGAATCAATTCGTTGTCTCGTTATTTCTGAGAGACCCAACTCATGATAACTCAACGACACAAATATGCATACCGACGGCTGACAAATCCAAGGTAGAGCGTGACAATTTGATGTGCACATTATTTGATTAGATGTTATAAGAGGGCAACCTTTCTCGGTTCTGGCATTTGGGCGTAATGTTGTATGCACGCTGTTTTATAATGCATTGCATTACATACCTAACCAATCATCTTCATTTTTCATAACATTTCTCACTTTGACAGGACGCGACACAAAAAATTTGCCTGCAATAGAGCTATTGTTCAAAAATTTACTTATGCATTTCTGTCCTTGTGAGTGCATAACTGAATACTGACCATTGTGTTATACTTGCTAATGATACGTGTAGCAACAATTTATAATACAAGTTACTTAACTATTTATATACGTATATATGTATGTATTATGAATGAATAATTAAGAAACGTCTGGATAAATAACTTACCTTAACCTCTCGAAGACTCATCGCCTCGTCCCATGTGCTGTATTTCTTCTTCATTCTAAACAATCACAGAGATAAAAGCTTAATTAAATTGCAAATGAAAGAATTGTACAATGACTTATTCAACATCAATCAGTAAGTAGTTTAAATCGAGGATTTGATGAATAATCCTCAAAGCAATTCGACTGTTTGATTGATGCTCACTTTTTCATAGCAATTTGGTCCCCTGTTTCTCTATTAATACACAAATATACATCGCTAAACGCGCCCCTTCCCAACTTTTCAACTACTTTAAACCGTTTTGAAATCTTATTTCCAAAACCTTTTTTTGTCATAATGACTAATTAAACGGACCAAAAGTTTTCACTTTAGAGGAATAAAAGAAAGATTACAGGTAACAATAATCTCTGATGAACAATATAAAATATATGACATCAAAAATTAAAGTCCTTGGATACCTGCTCTTACAAGATTTATCAGAACAAGAGGAACGAATGGTTTTAAATTTTTATGATTGTGTAGGAACTATATGAAGTCATCTGAACTGTTTCGAACTTGAATGTGTCATGAGCAGACTCCAAAATATTAGACTATGTCGATTTTAATACCTTTTAATTGCGACTTTCTCTCCAGTATCCAATCTTTGTCCAAGCCAAACCTGTCCGTAGGTTCCATCCCCCAGAGGTCCTAATGTTTTATAACGATTCATAGTCATGCTAATGAATATTATTTCTGTGCCGAGCACTGTCAACTATTCAATTTTATCGCCAATGTTGTTTTATAAAACTTTTTGTTCAAGGCATCACTCTTATGTGACAAAACCGATCCTTCGTGTAAAGAAGCATACACTCAAGATGGATATGTGTTCAGATACGCAATACATTGCGTTCTTTTAAGGTTGACTTGCTTTAATCAAAAGTTTCAATCATATTTTGTGACAGTTTTCTTAAGTTTCACATTACTGTATTTAATTTTAAGTAGATGTATGTATGCTCAGAATGAGTGTCTACCTCGTTTTCTGGCATCACGTTCCAAACTGGTCAACTGTTCTCAAAAATGGAATTAGGAGAACGCTTATTACAGATACCCAGCCAGTGGCATTGGTCTGTTTGGCATTTTCCATTGCTTGGAAACGATGCATATCGATCCACTCTGGAGACCCGTTGTTTGTTGCATTGAATACAAATATGTCCTTTTGTGGTCGCTATAAAAATTTGTATAGCATAGCCTTAAGTTTACACTCTTCATGTTTCATCCACAATGACGTCTCAAACGTGTCATTGTTAATTATGAGATTATGAAAAGAGTTTGACATTTAAATTATCATGCACATGCACATTTCCTGCTGCGTATAGTAAATAAGGATTCTAGTATTATGCCATAATTTAGAGGACTACTACGAATTGTAGACAAGTTCTCATTTATTGAATATATATTTGCATTTAAATAACATCAAATGGTTCCTCACAGTACGACTAGGGTTGTGAAACATACACGTTAGTATGTAAATTGTTACTTGCTTTAGTCAGTTTTATAATGTTTTCGTATAATTTTAAAATTTATGTATCACAAGTAAACACTGCCGTTTATTCGGTACTCTATGTATGTGTTCTAGTGCTAATGGGAAATTTATCACTTTCAGGGTTATCCTGTGTTAAGTATGGCGATTGATTAGACATCATAAGGGATTTATTTGTAGGAAACAAATTTTGGCGATAAAATTAATTAATAACTGTGCAAACTGCAATACTAAAAAAAGTGGCAAACTGTAAATTGATTTGGGTAAAGGTACATAATTATAATGCGTCTGTCTGACGACGGCAAGTTAAGGTGGTGAGGTATTTTATAGACAAGTCTCATCTTGATAGTTCTTTTTCATCTTCTTCCTCTTCATCATTTACAATTTTAGGGTCCAACGATCCACAAATTGTGCACCAAAGTGGACCAAATTTGCTAATTTTTCCTCCCAAACTCCAGCCATTTGGGATAGCCAAGTGTGATAATCCATCTTCAACAAGTCCATGGTCGTCTAGTATAAGACGCATATTGTGACAATGGTAAAAAAAATCTTACTCGACAAGAAAATATCATTAAGTGCTTATCTACCCGTCAAGTACTGCTTGAGACCTGTTGTTGTCCACAAGGTACAAGGAAGTTCGTTTGAAGTGTCTGAATTGTCCGCAGCAGGTAAGATCATTTCCAAGTCTGTTATATCACAGAGTCCTGAAATATGAAATAGTTATTGAGCTTATTTGCTAATTTAATTGAAATTATTTTTTAATGGTTAAACATAGGAAAATGACCTTTTTGAGCTTGTTTAGCACTAAAATATCCTAAAATCATAGCTCCTTCAGTCTCTGTGACCAAAGATTTCACACTCTCCGTAATCTCCTTCTGGTCAAAGACAGAGTGTCCTGAAGAGTTACTTCCAAATGACTTCCAAGTAGATGCAAGTGGGATGGACAGAACGTTTACAAGAACCCAAGTTTTAGAGTAAGACTGCATAAAAATTTAAAAAAAAATTACCTAAGGCATACAAATATATAAAATACATATAACTATAAACTGTATATGAATGAATGCATTACATGAATCTGAAAGAGGGCGTACTGCCATAAACTCCCGTTTTGTATCGGTTCAAATTCATTTCTCGGCAGTTCAACGCTGTCAATCCGCAATGAATCGTATAATACACCCAAAGAGTAATCGTTCTGAAAACCAGACCATGAGGATAACATTCATTATGCACTTCAAAATGCCAGTCTCGCTACTACTCGAGCTAATCCAAAGTGTCTCACATTATTTATGTGCATAGGAGACGGATGAAGTACGAATCTCCAATTGCCTCGATATCCGGTCCATTCAGAGTTTAACCGTAGAGTTGGTTCGTTTAGTTCTTGGCAAATCTACAAACACAAGTTTGAATTTAAAAAAATATTAAGCGAAAAATATAATATCGTTGAATTTGGATGCCAAACCTTGTCTAGAACTCCTTTGTCACATATCTCTTGAACTGCCAAGACGGAAAACCTAATCAAATGGAATAAATTATGCATATGAAAAACTTCAAAATGGAGATTTCCTAATAAGATATATACCTATTTTCCAAGATGGTCCGCGTAACTACCTCCATAACTCCGGGATTACTTATCTTGTCCAGTGTCATGGTCTCCATATTCCAAGATGCAACTCGGTACGCTGGGCAACTTTTGTAATAATAATTGAACAATTTTGGGGGGTCAGGTCGCTTAGTCTTTAAGGACAGCAGGTCATATACACCTTTGAGCTCGTCCTCCAATTGAACTGAGGCACTGATGGGTTGAATTGTGTTTGATGTCACAGTGGAAACTCCTCCTTCAAAGTAGTAAAAGGTAGCCATTAAAGTGTGAAATTAATGACAAAATTGATATTTCTTACCTTTGGGGATGTGTCGAGGGGGTCGGGTGGGCGTACTTGAAACTGTTGAGCTTTTATCTGACTCAATTTCCTCAATGGTTAAATGAATCTTAATTGCTGAAAAAAAGAAATTAAACAATAAGCGAAAACTAAAAATAGATTGGCTGCAAATACATATGTATAGTGCATAGATCAGGCTATATTTTATTTTATAAATCAATCTAAATGCTACGAATTCCATCTCGTTTAATAAGAAGACTGACTTTTAAGATACTTTAATTAATTTTGAAAGATGGACACACTATAAAATTTATATCATTACGAAATTGATATTATTATGTACCTGCCAAAAGTCTTCTGTTTATACCAACACGACGCAAATCGTCCACACATCTGAAGGGGCCTTTCCTATCCCTGCATGGTCAATAATTTTATTATTTTTGCAAATCATACATGCATATGTATCACTATACGATGGGTAAAAACTTGTAAAAACGGTACCGGTATTCAATGATTCGTGCTGCGATGGCTTGGTTAATAACATCAACTGTCATTAGGTCAAAAATGGTGGCCTGGTTAACATTTATCAGTTTCATGGTTCTCGACAGATTTGAGGCTGGTCTGTTTAGTTCGATCATGACGCTGTTGGGTAAGCTTTCCATCGACGGAGCTTTGGAAGACGCCAGGCTGAAATGAAAGAATTCCAAAAATTCCTTATAGTCAGTGCATATGCAGAAAAGTAAGGTGAACATAAAAATAAATCAATCCCTGCATATTGCATGCATACATGTAACACGTAACAGGGTATGGAACACAAGTCCACTAAAAAGTGTTGAATTTGCAGGTGTTGTACAAATACATAAACACATTATGCTCATTATTATTACCTCAGTCCTGGCCGCCTTCTAGAAATGCAGATTTCAGGACGGATTTGATTCAGTTTGCTAGCTCCCATGCCCGAGACTAACGCTAAATCTTCGATCTTCCGGAAACCACCAATGAGTTCACGATGATTTATTATGTTCTGTGCCAACTGTCGATTGACACCATGCAGAGTCATTAACTCCTCTTCCGTTGTGGTGTTCACATTTATAAGCTCCACCTAAATTGCACATGCAGAAGAGCAATTATTTTAAGTGGAGGCATTTAAAAAGTTATATTTTTGGCCATTCGTCAACCGCATAAGCCAAAGGTCGGATTTTTATCTCGAAATCTCGGTCCACGAGCTACAGACGTTCTGAAACGTGTTGTCTCTGACAAAGAAAGATACGCTTCTGCTTACCCTAATGTCACTGTTGTGCATGTTGAACGATGCGCTGATCGAGCCTCGTCTTTTCTTCCATTTTTTCTTGGTAAAGATTTTACTAAGGGAGGCAGTGGATCTTTGATAATTCGCGTATGATTTACTCTTCAAGCTGCTTAAGGGCTGCGAGTTGTCTTTTATTCCATTCGGCATATTCGTGATGGACTCGTTATTATTTGAATGATCAGGATCTGGGTTGGAGTCGACGAAGGAGGGATTATTTTGGGGAACAATGGACGAGCTTCTCCTGGCGACGGTGAACTTTGGGAGGGAAGAGGAACTGGACCCCTGACCCATCGTGGCGGTGGGGGTGGTCGAAGACGACCGTCGACCACGGCCGTACTTCTTCCAAAATAGACGAGTCGTGGGCAGACAACCGCCACGCACGTGTCCCGACAGTTTGGACTGTTGATTTTTAAGGAACGCCTGTGGAGATTCGGAAATAGATCGTTAACCTGAGAAAGTGGGTCGCTCATCTCAACTTTTGATATTTTTGTATATTAAGTAGTCAGTTATTATGTAAGAATAGTTTAGTATTAGTTAAGAACAAGCTCGTTTTGGCAACTGTCAGGAAATCTATTTTGTTCAGTTCAAAGGTAGTTACATCCGGAAAAGTTCAGTTCATTGAGAGTAATATCAGACATATGTAGAAGCATGACATTGCCAATTTCAAAAATAAAAACGTACAGCCTGTTATAATCAATCAAAACAGCATTATTTATATCTAATAATATCACAAACTACACGAATGAGAATAAAATTTATTGATCTTCATCTAACTTTACATGAATTTATTACTTTATAAGTTGACTGTTATTTCTGTTGCAAAGAGTCGAAATTATTAAATGACTTTATATGTAAATCCATGCTAAAAATTATTGTGATGATTTTCTCAATATCAATTAAAGGGTATATGCAGGGCATATTATGCACTCATACGAGTACATAAAGAAAGAGTTAGATGTTGTTTCGTTAATTAAAACCTACAGTGCAGACTCCATATAGCCCGAGTCAGGGACATAGTCCCTGACTCAATAAGTCAGAGCCCGCTTCTAATTTTTTTTCCGAATTGACCGACATAACATCACCAACTTCCGCGTTGTGGATGGTTAAACGTCTGATAGATAGTTTCTATTATTTGGCACCAAATTATTGAATTAGTAACAATTCATGTGCCTTGACCTCCATGACCAGTGGGCTTCTTTAACATCCTGAAGTTCTAAGCTGTATGTATGTGCTATCCAGAAGTGGTTTTTAGCCTTCATACCAAATTTCAGCTCGATATGATGATTTTGAAAAATCAGTAGGGGTCACCCGCTAGAGTCACTCTGGTTGCACTTTGCTCACTTTTAACTTCATATTCTTTAATTAGAAGCCATTAAGTATCATTGTGCCGATTTAATCTTTTTAAAGCAATTTCTAAAAATCGGTATGGGTCACCCCATAGGGTCGCTCCAGATAAGAATTTTACCAATTTCATTTCATATTCTTCAAATAAGACCTATTAGTAACCTCTCTACCAAATTTCAGTTCGATATGATGATTTTTAAAAATCGGTATGGGTCACCCCATAGGGTCACTCCAGATAAAAATTTTTCCAATCTGAAGTCATATTCTTGCATTAGGTGCCATTAGCAACCACTGTACCAAATTTGAACTTTCTACGACAATTTTGAAATTTTGGTGCATAATACCCCACCCACTCCGATAACCCCCACCGGTCAACCACTGGACCGATTTTGCCCATCTTCGAACTCGTTTCCTAACTTTGTCCGATATGTATATGGTAAAAATTTCAAGTCAATCGGTTCAGCCGTTTTGGCTCTATCGTGCCGGACAGACAGACAGACAGACGGACGGACGGACATGACGGTTCCATAAGCCCTGACTCGGGCTAAAAATACAGACATAAGGATAAAAGGTTAGATTTCGTCTGTCGCGATATTTGGAAGTTTGACAACCCGTGAATGTCTACACTCAAGTCATGTAATTACAATTTACAATTACGCTTTTCGTTACATAAGTTTGTAAAACTTTATTCCAGAATTCTTGGCACATAGCCTCAAAGGAATTGATGAGAATGATACCACAATAAATGTACACTGCTGCTTGAAAGAATAACAAAGATAAGGCAGACAAAAATAGTTACTCATCGGTATGTTCTACACGTAAGTTATTTCCGAAAGAACCAGAATAAAGGTATCTACCATTATGTCGTCGAAATAAACATTTCTAAGCTGATCCGTACGATAGAGACAAAGCTGCATGGTTATAAAATTCGGAATATTTCCTTTGTCTACAAGGTCGCAACCATCTACTTCCATAAAGCGTTAGTGTTAAGTTCTGCCTGGGTCCCTGTGGCTCCCAATGCAAATTGCCCCGTAGAGGAGACAAAGAAGGACGCGGAGCAACGGTTGCATGCATGAATTTTCTGCATGAGTCTCACTTCGCCTGCACGTGACTTTCACGTACGCTTGCCATCAATCTCAAATTAAATGTCTTTGTATATTTGCAGTGTGCAAGTAAATTGAGTGAGTGAGCAGTATACATACATACATCACTCATCAATAGTGGTTATCATGATAAGTGATCTTGATAAACACTATTAATTAATTATTTTAGTTTGAGAAACTCCATCCACAGCGAGTGGCATATCAATTCGAATGTATTTTTTACGCTGAATCCAACGCCATTAATGGTTTTGACCTCCGAGGCCCCCGTGACCTTGCCGTGACCGTGGTGTCCAAATATGGCTTATTCGTTATGTCGCATATCAATTCGAATGTATTTTTGATGCTGAATCCGAATCCGTCAATAGCTTGGCGTTAATTGTAGAAGTTAACGGGGTTTATGGAACTTAACGGGAGCGTGAAGCGTGGGAATTTAAATAGTTAACTATGCAGTTACTCCCACGAGACGGGAATTTAAGTAATTAACTATTCAACTACCCCCACAGGGGGAAATTAAATTGTACTGTGACCAGGTTAATTAAAATGCAGTATGATTTGGGCAAACCCTCACTCTGATGTATGTATGTAGTATGACAAAGTCTTCACTGCGAATTATTTAAAGTATAGTATGACGGATTTTTCGCTTTGGGCACACCCCCCACTCTAGAACCCGGCCTTGGCCGGGCTATACGCTAGTTGTTTATAAAAGAAAACAGTCTAACATATAAGTTTATCATATGTGAAACCAAAATGGCAATCAGAGTTGGAAAACTCAATAAATATATGTACTTCAAACTCTCGAAAAAGGTCTGAATTGGATACATATAAAAATGAAGTCAAAAAGTACATTTCTTGTTCTCTATTTTAGGTCACCATCCATAACCGTCCATCAATACATAGTGAATTATACATATTATGCATACTTATGCTGGTCAAATGATCATCGGGATATTATCTTAATTATATCTATGTACATATATATACACATGCATATATGTACTTATGTATGTACCTACGACGCATCACGTTAATTTAATATACCCATCTCACTGATTTTTTGTCCGCGTTACGATCCTGCACTTTTTTGCTGATTGCTCATTGAAGATAAAATTATCCCGTAATTGTATGATGATGGGACGATGCCATGCGTTCAGTAATAATGCAGTGCTTAATGACTATCTCTATATGTGTAATAATGCCATGTGCCTATCTCTGCATGAATGCTGAAAAGCTTGCCAGTAACATTTCGCTCGACTTTTGTTCAAGGAACTTTGAAGGTGAGTATAGGATGGCAAAGCAGTGTTTGGATGGACGCATCTTGGAATACGTAACGTCACGTCACTCTGACAATGTATGCATCAATAGTACATTTATTAATTATTGCTCACCAGGAACCTTCCAGAGACAATTAGAAAGATTGCAGAGCAGAGACGACCATGTGACTAATTCATTCTGTCATTCACTCGTTTGCAAAACAGCGCATGTCATCGAAGTTATTTTTTAGTGAAACAATTGACAAGCGGGATAGTTCCTATAAATCTGGAATTATGCAATAGTTTTTATTTTGAGCCTAGCTAAGCTATGCATACGTCTTCTGGATGGATGTCTAAACTCATTACGGCCAACTTAACTGGTTTGCGTTTGCATAATAGAATTGCAGTTGAGGTTGTGCGGCTCTACTAAATCCTAAGTATGCACTGAATAAATGTTGCTCATTAAATGACAATTCACAAACTACGAACAGTTGCATTCATTGCCTACTTTTCACCTATTCAACGGCCTAACTTTTCTAGAATCCAGTCTTTATAGCTGATATAATTAATTTATTAAGTAACTGGATTTATTCATGAAGCAAGGATCAAGATTTTTGATGTCGTCGCACTCCCTCTAAATCTTCCAAGATCTTCTTATTGCACTCCTAATCATCATCATCATCATCATCTCGTTTATATATACGTAAAAGGGTTTTTAACCATCATCTATGAGTAAAGTAAAGGTCATTCGCTGGACCCAAAGGTTAACGTGTAAGTACAGCATGAAACACTCACACAATTTCCTAAAACTCTAACATTTATAATGCCATTCTCAACTTAGTTTATCACTCTGATACATTCGATACTTTTCAATACCTAATCAGTCCTGATAACCAGTCTAATTTACAACAGGCGCACGAGTACGGAGAGAGAAGTATTTTACGAGAATGTACACATGTTTGAAATTGAAATCGTGAACATTATACATAATCAGCAATGAGCTGAATGAGCACCACACCAGAAGAGCGTTTCCATCTCATCAATGTAATCCTCATGGAATAAGATATAATACTAATCAATGGCACGAATTGACTGAATAGAGATAAATGGAGCAGCATAATTCTATCTTCACGTGGCTTTGTTGTAATACGGACAAGTTGCAAGTAAATAACTGCTTCGATTCATTGATATTCGATCTCAACTGCTCCAAACATTCGACCAAGTTTTGTGCTCACATGCATGCATCCATATCATTTCATTTGTATCTATTAAATTACTACGTTGTAATCTAATAACAAATATTTCTACAATCGTTAATACTATCAGAACTACAGTTCCTTCCCAAACATTGACCAGCAAAATTCCTATCAGACGACTATTTTTTGCTTGTGAGTCTCAAATTTGCTCTTCAAATGTCTCAAATCATGCTAGATTTTCAACTGTCAACTGTGTATTCCTTCGAAATATGTACATCTCTATTAGATGTTTCAATTATTATGACGCAGTTTTATTACGTTTAATTTAAGCCTTGTCTATAATTCTCGAATAACTTTAATATAAAGATATACATAAATAGAACTTAGGACTCATATTTTCGAATACAAAAATCTAGTGCATATGTACCTCACACATAACATTATGTGGGACGCTTTGAAACTGCAGTGCTGCATATGTGCTAAACCAAGTATGCAATCATTGGTTATCAACTACTTACTGGTACATATGCACACGTTATCGTACTGCATGATCAACCCTTGAACCGTCACTATTGTAAACATAGATGATATAGCTCACTGATGCCAATTTCATTATTTCTCAGTGTCTGAGATTTCCATTTCCATGATATGGACATGTGTGAAATCCTTTGTAAATATCACGATTAGGATATACTACTGTAATGTGTATACAATGAGTGCAACTGCACTAACAAATTCTAGGCTGATTATTATGCTCTGTGAAATCTACGATAAGTTTAATAAGCCTCATCATCAATCATGGATTATATTTGTACACGGGTGGGTATCCCGATGAGAATGGAACATGCTGCTTCCACTCATGGTTGATGCAAACAAACAAATTCCAATAAATTTGTATGTACACTAAATTAAACACAAAATATGATGACATATGTATGCAATGGGAACGACCTAGTTCAGAATAGATACATATTATTAACCACGTAGTAGTGATGTTCCTGGACCAAAATTAAAGAGTACTCTATCGTTCAATAATTGTACTTAAAATCGTTATTAAATTACTTTCTTACCAAATTTACCAGCGATTTAAATATAAGTCTCACGATGGTTTCAAGATAGATCTTCTGCCATATAATCCAACGTTACTGAACCCATTTAAATGACAACATATCGACATGTGTAAGTCTAATCTGTGTGACAGCACTCTTACGAAGACCGCGTGATGTGATCCGATTCACCGTATCGTTTGTTTAGCTTATCATGTTCATGGTCAGGTACACTTGCACTTGCACAAAGGTTTTACTCTACCTGATGCGAATGCAAATTGAGAGTTTTAACGAATGTGTCACGAAATGCAAGTTATTAAAAAATGAAGAACTAAATCCAATGGTTTTGTTAACTATGCACAAAAGAAGCTGAGCACAATCGTTAGATATTTTCCAATTAAATAGTTTTCCTTAAAGCAAACAATTCTTGGACGTTCGTTGCATGTAAGTCAGAGTACATACACTTCAGCATTCATTATTACGCATACGGTCCAAGATATCACTCGTGTCAAATGACTGAAACATAAAGGGACTCTGTGTTAGTAATACACTTTAGTTATTTCACTACATAATATTTATTATTGATGGATCATGAGAAGCATGACACACTACTTTGTTCTAGAGTTTTATATTAACAGCACATGTGTCACAAACTACGTAGATATACAGCATGTTGCATGCAAATGAAATGGTTCACAATCCTGGCTTACCTTTCCGGAAAATGCAGTGATCAAGTCAATGAGTGGAAGGGTTTAAAGTTCACTAATTCACCAAATGCATAACTCAAAACTAGTCAAAACTATTCAGATAAGACAAATAAACACGAAATGTTTTCAAATTTAAAGCCAACGTGGCTCATACTTCATTTTATCGCTTTTTTACTGCCTGTTGCGTTGGTGTCCAAAACAATACTGTCGTCATTAATAACGCTGAGTGGTGGTGTACATATTTAGGGCTTGGACATTTGCTGCTCAAGTGCGATAACGTCCTCCCTCCCCTTTTTATAAAAATTGCCTGCTGGTACTGGTGATAGTGAACAAGTGGATGGAGACTGATAGTGTTATCAAGGAATTAACTCGACAAATAATATTGGAACAAATACATGCAACACTTTAGCCAAGACTCACTGACTTGCTCCTCCATGGCATATGAGGCGAAGGTAAGATAATAATTGACGCTGCAACGTACAGCGAAATTCCTTCTGGTGCTGGTGGCTGTGCAGGAGAATTTCAACTGAACACATTTCATTGCATTTACTTTTACATCCACTACTTGACTTTGCTAATAATATTATGGAATGGATGGATAGCGCAGATCTCATCTAATGCAAAAGTTGTCTGGGGACGCACATGAGTCTGATGAACGAAGCTCAAGGATAAAATCAATGTTGGTTATACATACGTTCGCTTTTTCCTGAAATGTACTCCATGCTAGCGATGATGGTGTCGGCACTCTGTAGGACAACACTTTTCCATGTTCTACCAAATGCAAATTTCCAAGCCTGTATTGCGTGTGTGTGACAGGAGGAATGGAGGAGAGGATGAGTCGTTGTGCGAAACTTGGTTAATAAGCTTCTCTAAAGTTGCTTTGCTGATCTGATGCTCAAATAAGTATTTGCACGGTGGACGTTCTTTTGGCAACTTTTTTGGCACAGCCATCGTCATATTCGTCATGCCATATCATTTACAGTCAGATAGTTAGATTATGTATCAGCACACTGAGGGCCATTATTACTACCTGTTTTATCATGCATTACTTTACAATATAGGAGTTGCAAAACATTTCGCAAAGCAACCGGTGCTGACCACGAAAGCTGTGTAATAAAGTAAAAGGTTACAATTTGTTGTACCGCATTGGCACTCGCCTGGACATGCAGGAAATGAAAATAACCATTCGCCTAATTATACACACTCCTCTTGGTCGATATGTACATGCTTTCCAAATCGAACTCCTTATACATATTGATACCTGTACCGTTGTATGGCGTGTGAAAAAAAAACTCTGGCTTATGCACCCATACATATACATGCATGTAGATATTTGTTATTAGTATGTTTGAATGCAAGCATGCGTAAACTTCCTTTCAGTGCATGTAAAATGAACGACGAAAGTAATTATGCCCATGCTTAAATAGAGATCGATAATTTGACAATCAATAACACCCAACACCAACAATACATATATTATATCTGTGGACAAGAAAAAATGACACATCACTCCACATATAATTTGTATATTGCAATTTTTGCATCGCCTCTGTATTAAAACATGGAAAGCCTTGAATAATACTTTTATCAGTTTATTGAATTAGTATTACATGGTTGACTCAAAATTTATCCAACTGATTTTTAAGAACAACAATAATATAATTTCAATTTAACAGCCTACCCATCAATCACAAAAATGCATAGGTTCATAATATTTTATTTGAATAAATTATGACTTATTGTATACGAATATTACATATCCCATTGTCCTACACTATTGCCTCATTTCCCCCGACGTATTATTACGTAAAAGTGCAAACGCACATCAATATATTAAATATAAATCCACGAAATAATATATATGTATGCTATGGTTAAACTTTTGAATGTCATTTTAAATATCGTAAATGGTTTGCAAATTAGCACAGATCTCAAGGATAATTTCCCGTGTATTTATGGACGGACATTATAAGTTTTTAGAATACTTGTAAATAAGTGATGAACACATCATTATTCGGACACACGCCAGCACCTTCGCATTTGTGACAATTTGGAAATGCAGACATAATCTTGTTTTTACTGTAAGGATTAATAATTGATTGATTGTAAAATGCAACTACCATATTATAAAGTCGCCCTTCTTATTTCATACTCTTTTAATGGTTATTTGTAGTCGAGGTTGTTGACTTGTTTACAACTCTTTCTCCTTGAGCCAGCTCGCCGGCCTTAAAAGATATATACTTTAAGTAAGTGTCAAATCCGTAAAACACCATTCCCTAAAAGGAAAAATCCATTATTCATGTACTACGTTGTATTTTAGAATACAACTATAAATACTATGCAATACTTGCCAGGTATCCGAAGAACGCGGCAGCCGCAAATGGATTCTCCTGTGAATTGTAACAATAGCATGGAATTTTTGTATTACCAAGGCGTATAATAACTTTGTAATATCGCCTGTAATATCCTATTTGTAAATATATGTACACACGGCTACTTACAATATGACCCATACTTGCTACCGCAGTAGCCGCTGTGAAATAAAAGAATGTCCAAATTCCGCAATATACCAATTCCTAAAATATAATTGCATAATTGTAACATTACTCAGTCCTGTCATATGTAGTAGAGGTGATTAGATCGACTCGCATACAATTCAGTGCGCATAGCACGTGTTCTATATACTTTACTGAATAAAGAGTTTGAAAAAACTTACAATGAGCAGCCATGGGAGAAAGTGTAGTTTTTCCACCAAGTGAAAGAGGAAAAGCAGGAATAAAATTAGAGTGATTAAAAGTCCTCCAAATGCAACAAAAGCAAACCTGAAACATGCATATGATATAAAAAGTATTTTAATTAACTTTTAATTGAGTATGAATTTTCCACCCACCAATTGGCATTATGAGCATTGGACCGTTGTGCTACTGAAATGCAGATAAACCCACAGAGATTCAAGACCTAAAATTCACAAAAAATCATGTTTTCATTTACAGCTATTATATTTTATAACACATTCAAAACACTATGCAATACTTGCCATCTGCGCGCATTTTAAGGTGCCTAGAATTAATAAGTAACCTTGATCAGTAAATAGATTTTGAGGGTAAACGTATCGCAAGCTAGACGTAGACTAATAATATTAAATTTTGCATACCTGGAAGTGTTCTGACATACGACGGGTCAAATCTCACATCAGTGACAACTGAAGTGGTGGCAGTTGTTGTCGTTGTTGTATGGGTCGCAGGAAATCTGGCTGCTTCCGGATCCATAATGGATGTCAATGTCCCTTCCTCCGCCCTATATTCAAAGAAAAGTGGACTGCTTGCTTATTTATTACTACGAATTATGCACACCTTAAAATCTTTCAATTATTACTTGGAATAAGTCGGATTTTGATATTTCTCAAACGGGCGATGGGGATGGGAGGTGGCCAAAAAAATTCGCAATAGGAAACCAGGTCAGATTCGAACGGGTAATATACACCACCCGAATTGTGTTCGTGTTCTCTGATGCCAGAAGAACACAGAAAAAGAGATTTTCAAGCCGTACAAGATTTGTACCACGGATGAACCAGAGAGATAAGTACTATTGCAAATATTCTATCTATCCTAAACCAGTTGTTGTTCTAAAAATGTCCCAGCTAAATATTTTCAACCCGGGTTGGGTGTTAGACTCAAAATTTAACTAGAAATTAGACTTCATGGTGACTGCCAAAAACTTAGAACTTTGAGTCAATGCAAAATTGCACTGCAATCATTAAAAATTGTATGCTAGGTAAACTTGCATCAGCTGGTATGTAGCTTTTTATGTAGTACCAAAAAACAGCTAAAAATGAGAATACATTACTTTTAGTGCAAACTATTTTTTAGTTAGTGTACCAATATATCTGCAAAATCTACGTTTCCCCTGCTTTCACTTTCACCTCATGGGACTGAATTTATTTACTTTATGTACTTCCCTTCCCTTTTGCAAATATTTTCTAGATATTTTGTCTGTAATATGGTCTATGCGAGAGACAACACATGAACCAACCGTGTAAATAATATACATACGCAACTCTTTACTCCATTCAAGTCTCCGATTTACATGTACAAACAAATATCATGGAATAAGATGAAATCAACTAGGGAAGAATGTACAAATGTACATTCCCTGTACAAATAGTAGTGAAATCTGTAGATTTATTTATTGTTCATAATTTCTGTTCCTCTCGCAATATTATCGCACAAAACAAAAATGATACGCTTTTCAGTTTCAAATTACATTCGACTATATGACAGATATTTCTGTACCCCCTCTTCCTTCAATATATGTATTCCTAACATTGAAATCCATTAGTTGGAATTAGCCACCCAAAGGCATCGCAGGCAATTAAACATTGCCCAAATGTTGAATAATTGCATACATGTTGAATTGAATTACAATGAATTTCATAGCAATTTGGAAGAATATATCTATGTTAAAAATTTCGATATATATAAGTTTTAGTTTAAAACTTTTAAATACCATTTTTATTGTAAATGCCGTCGCCAAATGAATCTGAAATAAACTACCAAAGTATCTACAAATTTTGATTTTATTATTCGCATATGCATATCTACAAGTCGTATTTTAAAGAGAAGTCAAGGAGAATCGGATCTAATAGAAATAGTATGTAGGCAGATACTAATCTAAGGTAGGCAGGCAGGAATGGGGAAATTGAGACGGAGAGCAGAGAGCAGCCATGTTTGCTCAGTTTTGCTACAACGATCGCTCAACCGTTGAACTTCAACGACCTCGTCCAGCTGCGTAAAAGTTAATTTTGCTGATTTATTTTTTTTACTATTTTAAATCCAGTCTTTTTACGGACTGTGGGTTTAGAAACATAAAAAAACATAGAGTAATAATGGGTCAGCCCTCATTTCCAGTAGGACATCGCCAAGCACCACTCAAAGGGCAACCCGTCCAAGTTATGGCGAATACGATAAGGCTCTTGTCACCAGGAGGGGTTAACAGGTTTAACTATCCAATTTAGTAAGTTTTTTTTTGTATGTTTGCAATGCTTATTTAGTTTTGTACTTGTACTGTTATTACATTTTTATTCTGTTAGTCGACAAAATAGCATGCTCCAGGGCGATAATAATGAGAGCGATCGTTACAAGCCGAGTTATCGCTACCGTGGACCATTCAACCAGAGATATGCACGACGATCCGTGGACAACACTTTTCGGCCACAATTCCCTCGAGCTTTGTATCAACAGCGATATAATAGACCTTCGTCCTACTCATCTGAGCATCCTCAAGGTGTCTTTGTGCATCCACGCAACCCTGATCAGTACAAATTTTCTACATTCAGACAGAGGTATCAGTATCCAATGCTGAGATACGGCGATGCATGCTTTCAACATAATCAATGTTCGACTCTGACGACTAGAAGTTATGGAGATGAATTGAACTATTTCCAATCAGATGAAGAGTATGTTCCAGAGATTAAAGTTAAACGTATTCGGATAGCGTCAATCGAAACGGTTGATGATGACGATTACAGTAACAGCTCCTCATCTGCATCTGTGGCTGATGAAGAAACCTCTGATGATGCAGAGACAGGAATATCATCCGAAGATGTACTTCTACCTTTGGTGCCTTTGCCTTCTACAAGTTCTATTGCAGATCAAGAATTGACTGGAACGGCGCACATAACTGTTGTTTCGAAGTATGTCCTGGTTGGAAAACAAAAGACGGAGCTGAGAGCAGCATTTGGAGTCTGGCTTGGGGAAGGAAACCCACTGTATAATTTAATTAATATATAAAATATTACAGAGCTTTGCAAATTCATATGATATTACTACCATTTTAATTAGAAATTTTGGGGGTATTATGCCTTTGGATCGATTACAGTGTCGGAAAGCGGCACTTATATACAGGTAATTTGTACTGAAAATTTTAAAAACATTATAATAGTTTCATTTTCATTAAATTCAGTGGAGCAGCCTGTGTCATCTTGCTCAAGGAGAAAGGTAAAAAAACTGATGTACTGAACTATACCAGTTTAATAAAATATCGAGTAAAATTTTTCATATCGTCAAGATTTTAAACTTATAAAGTACTTAATTACAAATTTTAAAAGGTTTCAATCACGTCAAGATCTGCATGGAGTCGGATTATTTGGTGAAAAACGTTACTGCATGGCTTTATAAATCAGGTTTAAATAATCCTGGTGCTTCAAACTGGGACGAGTTCAAGTTTTCAGAGGAAATTGGACTATTGTGTGGCTCGTTTTCAGGAATGAAGATTAATTGGGTAATTTTCAATAAAAACATTACCCTTTAAAACGTACCCTATCATAATGTTGTTACTCACATACATTTTGTTGTAGGTACATGTCACCGAGAAATGTGAAAGTATTGATAAGGCAGCGCAACTTGCTGCGGCAGCGCTTCCGAAAGACTATCAAGAAGTCAACTAGTTTGAAGTTCATGAAGTTTTACAATACCTGAGCATCATTTTCTGCTGTTTTATTCAAAAACAAAATTTTACATTGCAATAAGTTTGTATCTTACTTGTCTAGCCTACATAGTTTTAACTTTTCAATCAAAATACATAACATAATAAAATTGGGTTGTGATACCGAAATTAAAATTATCACAATGGCAATTTCCTCATTTCTTATTCGTCTATTCGTACATAATATCATAAATATTAAAGTCAATTGCGCAAAATTTCATCTTTGGATGTCTTGAATAACATCCATGTCGTCTCTTGATCGGGGAATATATAAACTTGCACAACAATGTTCCCACAAATCTTGAGGATACGGAGACATTGTCGACCACTCGGCGGTATCCAAGTCGAAACATTCAATCACGCCTGCATTAGTCAAGGTAAAAAACATTAACAAATGCATTTCCCTACAAAGTATAAGATAAAGATGACTATTCATGGAGAAATAAAAGATAAATATATACCTGTGGTTCTATCAAATGTAGCATCACTGTGAAAACCCCCAATTATTTGAAGCTTATTCTGAATTAACGTTATTCCCGCATGATACCGAGGCTGTGAATAAAAATAAATAATGTCAAAATGTGCCCACATAATTATAACTATAATACTCACAGTGGGTATTTCGGTAACAACTGTCCACCTATCATTTCGTATATCATACTCGTCGATTGTCCCGACTAAGAAACGGTTACCATTTGCTTCGTCTTCACACCAACCACCACATACATACAACTTGTCCTATGATAGAAAATAATCCATCATCCATAAATCTATAATCATAATCGAGATTGAGAAAGTTCACTGTCGAGTTACCTTATAAGTTACCATTGCGTGATCAGCCCTAGCAGTTAGTAAGGCTAGCTTTATTGTCCACTCGTTTGTCAATGTATTAAAACAGAGTAACGCATTACTAACAACGTCATGATCTAACCCTCCTATTCAAAATCAAATAAACATAATGAAATTATTGAAATAACGTATTACTATACACTTGTGAAAAAAATATTGAAAAATGACCAAACCTGAAATAAAGAGCAGATTATTCCAAGCAGCGCCAGCATGCTGCGTTCGACCAGTCGTTAGAGGTGCAATTTGTGACCATGAATCTAAAAGTACAACGTACAATTGATGTACACACACATACTCAACTCTGCTACTGTTGACTGTACAAAAGTTGATTTCACACCTGTTGCAGGATTGTAAGACTCGCAAGCGCAAGCTTCAGTAGTACCAGCAATGTCGTCAACATTTTCACTAGCGCCTCCGACTGCATATATTTTGTCTTGAACAACATTTAAAGTGAACCTACATCGTTCTGTTAACATTGGGGCCATTGTCGACCACTTGCTAAACCGAGGATTGTAAGAGAATCCGAACGGATGAATATTTTCCTAAAACATATAAATAGGTTAAATTATATTCTTCTTCGACTATAAATTCGATCAATTTAAAATTAAATACACCTGTAAACATTGATTAAAGCAGCCTCCAACGACGTACAGTTCGTTATTTAAAACTGTAACATTAAAGTATGCTATTATATGCTAATATATGAAACACAAAAACACAAATTTCGCGATTATGGAGTAAAATTTACCCGTCATTCCAAAATTTGATTGTTCAACATGAGGAATTGTTGTCAATCTCTTCCAATGGCCAATGCTGGGCAGATAGTAAGTAATTTCATTTGTGACTCCCGAAATACCAAATCCGCCAACTTGAGAAACAACCAGAATATTTTTAGAATTGCATATACGTTTGCAATTTTTAGACGTACATACCTTTAATAATCGCTAATTCCATCCCCCTAAAATTAAATTTAAAACAGTTAGGATTAGGTTCATATCTGGACTTGGGCGAGTGAAAAGTAGAAAAGTCACATAACCACCAAAAACTTAACCAATTCTTTCAAAGACCAATCAACCTTTCTTTTGGATAATATAGTTACCTAGAATTGACTAGGCTGGCAGTTGGCTTTTTCCGTTGGATAAATGCTGCTTGATCAATTAGCACTTGAGACACTATGAGTTTGTAAATTGAATCTGAATTTGACTGTGAGCAGACACAGTGAAGTATTGTATAATCCCACATTTGGCCGAGGCATTTCGGAGGAATTTCCTATAAGAATACAAAAGTACAAATGGCTTTAAACGACATATAATTGTTATATTGTTTTAATACTAATTGTTCAGCTGCATGCGAATTTGAACGGAAATTGATATAAAAATACCTCAAAATTGATCTTGCTCAATAGTCGTGTAGAATGTTGTATTCTGCAAGTATCGAACTCGACCCATTGTAAAACTATTTGTAAAACTTCCGCTTCGGTACAATCTACACAATAATCACACTGAAGTAGATATTCTAATTGTGCCACGGATAGTCTTTGAAAGTCTTGGGTTTGAGAAAAGTCCATCAGATGACCGCAGATGAATCGGTACACACGTTTTCTTAACTGAAAATGAAAGATATAACATTAGTCAACGATCTAAGCGATGATTTGTGTCCAGTGTCCATTTAACTAAATAAAATATACATAATTTTCTAACCTGATGTAAGGAGTAGGTCTCGGCCAGAGTCACAATATCTACGCAGTTTTCAAGATCTAGTTGCTCCTGAAATATAATAGTTTACATTGTCATAATGCAATAAAGTATGTACACACATTATATGATTGATTTACGGATTGCATACACCATAGATTTTTTATAAATACCTGCAAGTAACTGGAACAGGCTTCCACTACAGTAGTAACTGTAAATGAGATAAAATAAAATAGTAAATTAATAAATTAACTCCAAGAATTTTCAATCCTCGTTTACTTAAATTGATTACTTTCTAACTTCAAAATACCTTGCACATGACTAGCAGTGGAGAGAACGTCTTGAATATTTAACAAGTTAAGGGACAATCTCGATGTGTAAGCATAATCTAATAGGTATTGGATTCCTCGAGCAGATACGCCCTCCAGGGTAATCTCTTTAAGATTGCTTTCCCTTACATCGGATGTAAACATAGATCGAAAATAGTCTGATATTGATGCTAAAACAACCCGATGCGCCTACGCATATGAAAACACCAGTTCATAATAATCATAGTTTACTTATTCAGTTATTATATCGGTAATTAATTAGTCAAATTCTTGAACTGTTGGCAAACCTCAAAAGACTGTCCATCTGCAATTAATGTGACATCGACTAGAAGGTTTCTTGACCGCAAATTATTGAGCCCGGAAAGCAAAATTCCCGTATGTGTCGGAGATTCAAACTGCACTGTTTGATCATGGTTTAACTTATTATTGCTATCCTCTTCAAACATATCTCCAACTCCAAATGGATCCATTTTTGTTCTGAATTTTCAGGAAGGAGGTTCCACAACTTCAGATCTATCTATTAATAAGCTTCGTTCATTGAGTAGGTTTTGAGATTTTCACGAGAATGATATCCAATCCATTTCAGCGGATCTGCAATAATATTAACGTAATTATGTCAAGTGGATTTAATAACATACAAACTGGTACGTACCTATAACCCACTTTTAATAAGTGTGGCACAATTCAATATGTGATAGGAAAATGAATTTGAAACTAGTCGACTTGTTTAGTCACCTATATTTCTATTGCATAACTCACACTACTACTACAACTGTCCACAAGCCTTTCGAAAAAAGTGTAGGGGGATAACATAATGTAATTTACGGTAATTGAGAGTGGCAATAGGAGGAACTTGCATTGGCAACTGCAAACTTGGAGTTATGTACCCCGCATAACGAAACCACAACAAAGATATGATCCATCCGTAGAGTAGTGTAACATCCCAACAATCGCAACCAACCATAACATCTGCGTTATTTGTGTGAGATGAAGACGAGACAAAGCAAAAGTAATTGTTACACTGGGCTTCACAATGCATGGGGAGAAAGGTGTTCCATTGCCTTGGGCAAGTCTATGCAAGCATACCCTCGCTTGTTTATTTATTGTTATTTATTATTTATATTAACAATCGGATCACCAATAAAAGCCAGTTTTCCTTTAAATATGCAAAAATTAAAACAAACTTAATGCTCGACCGTCTAATTAATCCCCTTTTATGAAGTAGTACAGTTAAACTGGCAATTTTGTACCTCAAAAATCTGATGTGGTCAAATGTGACGTCGTTAGCATTTTAATCAAAATTAAAACCATAAAATAAATTTTATACGATGAGAACGTAAATGGCTGCTGAAATTTTGCCAAAATTGGAGTTAATTAGAAGATGCAGTAATTTACTGCCAGTAAGATAAACATGAACTATTTCTGATATCACTAAACATAATATGATTTAAGGGACATGAGCAAAAAACTGGAGAAATAGTAACTGTCACTGAACGAACAAATGTAATTCACCACGCAGTAATTATTAAAAAACATAACCAAGCCACTTAACCCAAATTATGATTCAACTGCAAAAGAGCACAATACGCGATGACATACACAATTTATATTCAAAACAAAACTACAAATATTGTAAGCATGCATACAAATAACAGTATTAGAAATTAGCTTACCTGTTCACTTTAGGTAGTTAGCAGGTAGTAAAGTAATTGTTTTCTGCAAAAATTGAAATTTTATATTCACTTGCTGCGTCTGCCTTTATCCTGAATTCCTGATCACAACTGCAACAACTGTGCCACGCCACAACAACTGTGAGCAGCTGACGATCAGTACACAAGGCAAATGTGGAAAACACTAGAGAGCATAGAATATCACGCGGGGTTTAAGCAATTCTCGGCAATTAATCTCGTGCCAAGATATTTTTGCGAAAAAATAATAAGTATTAATACGAATGAAGTATCCTTGTAAAACAATAAAGTTACTTCAATTATAAATTCCTGACCTGACTTTTTCCAGCAGAGATTGGACAACATAATCCTTTAAGGTGACACTTCATTCCTCAATCTGTACAACATGGAAGATACAAGATTATTTTGCTTTCCACAAATTGAGCATTTATTCAAATATACTTAAAAAAGTTTGAATTTGTTGGGTTTATGTAGGAAGAAACAAGATGCGGCTCACAGCGGTAGTGCGGATGCCTATGCTGCATAAGCGGATGAAGGACTTGTCGTGGAAGAGATGGAGGAAGCCAGGAATTATGGATTTAGGGATGGAGAAGAAACTTCGCGATGAGGGGGTCGATGTTATTGATGCAAATCAATTTGTTCGCGAAATGGATCGAAATTTGTATCCTACAGATTGGAGAACTTTGTAAGGAGTTTCTTGAATTTTAAGATTGCATGCCAACATTACTTGTTTGTTGTGTATTTATCTGTAGACCTGATATGAAGCCCGTGTTCCCTAAGCCACCTGCACCGAATAGTCGAGACCACCCAGATTGGCATGATAAGCCAGTTATGGTGTTTGAGCAAGAGAGTTTTCCCATGGAGGGAGTCAATCAAGCGCAGGCATTTACAAAAAGTGTTCAAGTGAAAGATGGTCTTCCTGACTCACTGTTGGAATCCTGCAATTTTATAAAACTTCAGAATCCTGGGGATGCAGCTGAACGGTTTGTAAAGAATACGTTTAAAATTTAATGTACTCATTATCCTTCTTGATTATTTAATTGAGGCAATACATTAATAATATTGCAGGATCGTTAAACAAGCATTTTTGTGGGACGCATACACAGAAAAATTGCCAAATCTAAAGAATTTTGATTTTCCAACCAGAGTATTTCGTCGACCTATGGGAATTCCTGCCAGGCGATCTAAGTAATATTAGCTGTTGTACTTTAATAATTTGGTCTATTTATTGCTGATTTTTATTAGTAATTATTATCTTTTATTATGTGCCGAATTTTAGTGAACTATTGATGAGAAATCTTTTACGATTAATTGAACAAGACAATTCAAGTGAGGCGTTGTCAAAAATGATTTCCAACGACGAAGAATTTCGAGTTAACGTAAAACGTCATGGGTCCGATGTTCAAATGAGATTGTCCCCTCTAATGAATATTATGTCTAAGCGACCTCTTTGCCCATTCCTCGATTCGAGTGAAAGTATAACAGAGAACCACCAAATCCCAAATATTTACCCATTTTTATCAACAGCTAATTTCAACAATCAAAATGTCTACAAAGAGGGAGACTTTTTTTGTAAGCAAAGTATTTCAAACATTTAATGGATCTATATTTCGTTAAAAACCTGTGCTACAATTACCAAAATATTTATAGCCGTGAGTGCAAATAGTGCATTTCCTCATATTCACACTGCCGTATTCTCACACCATATTCCGGGATCTCATACTCATATCCACCCACGATGGAATGATGACCGATATTCAGGCGCAACTATAATGTATGCTTTTGCTACGGCGTTACTGGGAGCTCGACGGAAATTTGGGGTGAGAATAATTGTTTTCAAACTATAAATTGTTATGTAATACCATTATAAATTTTTTATATATATAATAGGATAACTCGTCGACACTTCCAGAGCCTGTTACAAGCCAGGTAGTTCACCTTACAGGGAAAGAGTTCCAATTTGCAGTCTTTCAACTAAACACTTTGGACCTGGACAACGACTCGTCCAAAATTAAAAACATTGTTTGGCTAACAGATAAAATCAATTTATTCAGCCACATAGAAAACAAGCTGGGTACAGAATTGTTTGACGGATACAATCCTGAGCCATTTAAGATTTTAAAGGGTTTATATTCAAGTCCTACTATTTAATTTGTTTGTGACCAAGTATTTAAGATTTGATATAAGGTCATTTAGATTTCGAATATAAACATATTTGCTTGCTAGTATGCTGCGAAGTTAATTGCAGTTTCTGTATCATTACGATTGGAAATATCTTCGTTTTGCCGCGTTATAGCTGAGCCATATTTTGTGATGTCCTCAGTTGGAGCTGAAATTAAGAAATAGACAATGTGCACATTACGGTACGCAATTTGTATCTACGAAAAAATTTAATGTACTGACGTTGACGTGGATATGTTGCGTTACTACTCGCAGTTGGCGACTGCATCCATCGCGACCCCCAAGCATTTCTCTATTATTAAGTAATATTTTGTTCATTTTGAAATTCGCCAGAAGCTTGTATTGATTTATCATCCTTACCGAATGAACTTTATCCCAGCATTTGCAACAACTCATTATTGGTGGTAGAATTAGTAATCCAGAAAATCCCAACAAAGCACAACAAAATGTCATGCAATCGTACCATGGATCATCTAGAAATGTTAATTATTCTTTTAAAATAAGTTTTCCAACACTATGTAACAACTGAGCTTACCACCAGTTAATACTAGGATCACACTAGTACCAAGAATGAACAACCAAAACAATGGCATCGTAAATACCATCCAGTAGAACCAGCTTTTATTCCTGTACCCTACGCAGCCTGATTAAGTTGGGTCCATAATAATATATTTCTAATAAAATTCAATGACAATCTCTCTAGATATTTATGTATCATTTACTCACCGCCGAATACTGGACACATGCCATATTATTTTGAGTTCCTCAGACTTGGCCGATACCGCTACGATTGCTTAGTGCCATATGATGTACATGCATTTTAATTGTGTATCTTTATCTATGATTTATATTGCTATTGCTAGTAATCCAATATTTAAACCCCACCAGCGTCTCAGAAACTGGATGTTCAGAGTCATTGGTGGTGTTATCAAATTACAGTACATCATACGACACCCAGTGCAGGGTAGTGGACAAGTCTAAGGAACTGTTAATATTTTAATATTTCCGACCAGGGCAATGGTGGTCCCATCCTTCTGTAATAGATGTGAGATAAACATGATGTTATGGACAATTTTGCAATTGCATATAAAAATGTTAATGTCACTTATGCAGCAGTCGCAAATCCCACAATGGCCAGCCTATATTACGTACGTCAAATATTATTTTGACTTTATATGAACGGTTAGTTTTGCTAAATCAAGGGTTGATTACGGTAGGTGGACGATATGTGTGGCATCTGCATAGGATTAGGAAAGGCAAAAATTCGGAATGTTTAAACGGAACCGGAGTCATTAAATACTCTCAATTAACCTGTAGCAATAAGAATAGTCCATTGATTTCCCATCATTGATAACCGTTGTTTTTCGGTAGTAGGTAGGATCGCGTTGGACTAAAAATAATAATTTAATACTTTGTAAGGTTATAATTTAATTTTAAATTATTTTGCCTACTGTTAACATAATTCACCACTGCTTCATCATAGGATGGTCGTGGACAAATCCCTGGATTTGACAGAATGGTTTTAAAAGACGAAAATAAACAGACGACTCCAATCGTGACACCTATTGCAGTCTGCCAGGCAGCAAATTTGGCGAATCTGAAAAGCAAATATATTGAGCATTCAACTATTAGGAAAACTGACAAGTCTATGCAAATTTAAAATAGGTATGCTTACTCTGCTGCAAAAATACAGATGACAAAAATGGTATAAAATTCCAAAGCCCACCACCAAGGTCGTAGTGGGTGAACAAAAATGGTTCCGCAACAAATTGTTTTATAATTTCCGTAAATTTTCCATTTTGTTTTTTCACAAGGGAATGGATGCATGATCATTTTGTATATATTTCTGCTTATATACTCCTTATCATGATCATTCGATTAACCTAAACGCAAATGTCCCTATTATTTAAACTAACGACACCTAAATTATACACGTCCGCACTCTACTATCATCAGCCCAAGATTAACTGACACCGTTTCTATGACACGGCGCCCCATAGAATGATCGAGTGCCAATCTTTTTTTTGATAGAGCAAAGTCTTTTCCCACCCATGATGTTTTTTATATAAAATATACAGATAAACGTAGATGAAATATAAAATACGCTTTTTATTGTAGTTAACTTATTCATAATTTTATGACTTTACATTACACATCGACGTTTCCTTAAATTAACACAGTGTAGTATGCACGATTTATTTGCAAATATATATTTTTAAGTATATATAGATTTTTAAAATGCTTAACCCCTTTCCTCCGTAATTGATGAAACGTCTTCTTTATCGGTCAACCGTGTCACTATAAGGTACAATGTTGCATCCAAGCAGACCACGGCCATCCCAAGGACCTGGTATTAAAGCCAACTTGTGAGATCCAGACTCCCGTTTCACCTTGACCGATATCACATTCCCAGCACCAAGTTGAACCAAGCTTCCGATGTCGGATAAGCTGGAAAAGTTTTGAGAGTTGATGGATCCAAATTCGATTATTGCGTCGTCAACCAAGAGTCCCTTATAAACAGAAAACATATTAAACTCTGGTTTAATATCTTTAGCATGAAATTTAACGCTTCAACATTCACATACAGCATGGAAAGCAGGAGACCCTTCAGACACCAGATTGACCTTTGCTATTGGAGCAGTATGAACTTCCGTTGTGGACTCTTCAGTATCCATACGGTCCTCGGTTAGTCCTCGCTCTCTGAGTTGTTCATGATATCGTTGCAATTTTTGATCAATTTCTTTTGTTAACGATTTGAAATCGTTTTGCAAACCTAAATTTTAAACACACGTGTACATATGTATTTACATAAACGCTGGATAAAAAGCATTGGGATTTACAAATAATCTTGTGTCGGGCATGACGAACTTGGTACACGTTCACATCAGCTCGTGGATATCCTTCTGCGTCAACTAGAGGCTCTGTCATGCCAATCTTGTTCTGATATTCATACATACATAGGCAAATTAAAATGGGACTTTGAATGTTAATTAATTATGATTAACTAATCGACGTTATAATCTCTGCATAATATATTTCTTTCAAGTACCGAGGTTAAAATTCCACCCAGAGCCTGAATTTGTTCGTCAATGTCCTCTCTACGTTTTATGAGTTGCATGATATCCGAACGATTCACTTCGCCTTCGGATTCGGCCATCTCTTCGTTCCCTGTTTCTCGCATTCGAAACTATCTCCAGAATAAATGCTTCGCCTAACTGTTTCGTAATTTTTATCACAATGGACGAAATTAATGCAGTTGTTTTGTTTATGAGTCAATTTAAAATTTTGAATACAGAGATTGTTACTTCTTTACTTGTGTTTTGATGATGATTGCGAATTCTGCTTCCCACTATGATGGGGCACATTGCACTTTAATTCATTAATATGTTGCACAAGAGCGAACACAATATACAACAATTGAACATTTATCTGCAAGATGAGGTCGACTTATTTATTTATGATTTAAACCTAGATAATTGACCAGTAAAAAATTCTGATTTACTAGCAACGAAATTGACCACAGTTCTCTAGTATATCTAAGTAAAACTCAAAAACTGTAAGTTTTACAATAATGAACGCCAGCTTCAACTTTTGCGGAACAATGATCCTAAAAGTCCACTAGAGAAAGACCCAGTGACTTTGCTGTCTGCTTTTTTCATGGCAGCATGCTCTTGCTTTACTAGTTCCTGCTGCTTCCTCCGAAATTCAGCAATTGGATCATCGTAATCGGCGTAGTACTCCAAAACTCCACGAACGTCTTTAACTTCACTGGATCCGATTGCTATTAAGAAATGAAATATATATACGCATGAATTTGTATCCCTTATATTATAATTATCAGTAAATATGAAGAGAAACTGTTGATACTATTGCTTACTTTGAATTAGAGCAGCTAAATCGAATAACGCTCTGTCGTCATCATTTCCTTTCCATTTTGGAAGAATCAGAGCGTTGTTTCGATGTTTAGTCACAGCTTTGCCATTGCAGTCCACAATAATTACCTTTATAAATGTGAAGACAATGGAATAAAATTATGGGAAACGGAACAGTATATAAACAACATATATATATGTATATTTGCTTTTAAGTACTTTGCTTAAATCTCTGTTGAGTTTGTCAAGGTCTTTAAGATGAACGCCGTTTTCATATTTTGTCGAATCCCTAAATAGTCGGTAGTGAAAATAGCCTTGCTGGTCCAATGCGTCTACTATAGGGAAGGCAATCATGCCAGGTTCGTGTGTATAGACTACTACTTCAAACGCATAGCCAGCAACTTGGCTTAAAAAATATTCTACGCCTGGTCGCTTTTTAAATCTCCATCCAGTTTTATACTATAATTAGTAAGCATCTCAGAATTATCATCCATGGCAAGGTTATATTTGTTACTACATAAATCCAAGTCAGTTTCTTACCGTCCATTCCGGGTGAACAAGAATACCATTCAATTCGATAAGCAACGTGTACGGAGGTTGATGATATGGAGGTTTGACAGGGTCAGGAAGTAACTTATCCCTAGATGGATTCACAATATAATTGACATAGTTGCTAACTTCCGCCGACGCCCGCTTCCAATACTGAACAACGAATGGGAGATCTGAAAATTGATCTCTGATCGGATTTCCTTGTTGATCAAGTATTGGTGCCCCTAAACATTGAATATAACGATACATGGCATTCTATATAGGAATATTAGCACTCAATCGTATATTTGGGCGCCAGTAGAATTGGATAGCCTTACGTACCGTATGTAAAGAAGATATAAAGCCCTGTTCCAACGAATATGCCTCCCATTGCGTACATTGTGAAACGTAATGCTCGAAGTTGATTTTCTGCTGCCTTTTTAGCTTCATCATCTTGACCATCTTGTCCCGTTTGGTCATCTTTATTTGTATCTGCTGTTTTCATCGCCAGTGCCTGATAATTACATATGTTTTAATTTAACATAATGTTAATAAGCATAATATCAAATCCTTAATCAAATCACCTGTCCGGCCAGATTTCCACTGCTGTTCATGTCCACAGTGCTTTTCATCTGTGTTGCCTGATTCGAGAAGGATTTGAAGTGGTAGACGAGTGCAGTACTTCCAGTCGACCTTTGGGAGAATACACCCGCGTTTATCGCAAGTGACCACTGGGAAACATTTCTCCCACCACCATTATTGGAGATCAAGGAGGATGTCGTCAGCCCTAGAACTTTGCAGTGGCGAAGAACTTGATGACTTTGTGTAAATATTGAGCGAAGTGAAGATGCCATCGTTGATGAATAAGTAGAGAAAACTTAAAACAGTAACAAATCACATAATATCTTTGAATTAAATTTTAAATTAAAGCGAATTAAATAAATAAAATACTCGAACGTTCTTAAATAGCCAAGTATTTTTAAGTATCTTGTTCTATATTTTAAATTGTTGTAAATGGGTCTACTTCTACTTTCATAGTTTCAGGTGTTTAAAATAGTGGTATTTACTTGTTTGATTTTCTAAAACCTTAGAAAAAATTGCGAATTGTTGAAGTCAGACGTAAAATTGCATCTCACATTCGCAATTCTCTGTGCCATGTGAAGATTTGATTATTTCAGCCGGACTGCAACTCGTCCGCTCCTCCTTCGTCTTTCTCCGTCTCATCTCACCTCGCCTCCTTTCATTTTATGATGGGCTATTTTACTGACTATTATTGCATACGAGTGAGAATTTATAAGAAATCTAATAACGTATCAATTGAATTACATAATTTTATGTCATATTTTTGCCCGAGCCAGGGTTTATATGAAGTTATGAAACCGTCCTCCTCAGTCTGTGTAAATAAATACACATTTACGAATCGGGTTCGAAGATCTCATCGGAGGGTGACCTGCAACAATGGTTTTGTTTAATTAAGTAAGTAAAAGACAGGCCCGGGCCAACTCATAACAGGTTTTTTATTCGCCAGAGGATGACAGATTTTTGTGAATCACAACTTTTCAAAATTTTGCTATATTAAGCGATAACATTCTCAGCTTTTTGAAATTATGTATTTTGTAGATTTTATTTCTCAATTTTGCAATAGCACATCAAATATATGTATTAATGAATATTTTTGTGGCATTTAAACTCGGTAAGAAGAAGTTATATATGGAGATGTTGTTAGATGGTAATACGTTGAGGATATGACTTCTTGAAGTATTATTACCATCACACACGACGATTTGTCCAGGACGTTATAATATCATTAAATATTTACCCTTACCTGGGTAAATTTACATTTTTCTCCATCCACTACCAATAGTCTACGTTAAACAATAATGTTTTTTATTTGTATTTTTTACATGTAAATAATGAAGGGTAGGTACATCAATTAATAAGTACGTAAAGAGTTAGCTTTTATAATATATAACATTTACTAGACTATCAATTACATATTTTTATATTTATCATATTTTCATAACACTGTGCACACACGTGAGTGTGACTTATCTTTAGTTTGACAATATCTACAGGGTAAAACATAGGTAGTATCTTATAGTATTCTTAAATTAACAACACGTAATACCATTCATGATTGGATCAAGGTAAACTTTTCGAAATGCAGTCATTTCATGAAATCCTCATTATATTTATATTACTGATTAAAATCTGATTCTACTTAATGCGAATCAATTTTCTGACTAAAAAAAGACATTCCTCCGGATATTATGAAATAAAATCAGCGTATTTTCATTTAAATCACGGACACATTTTTATCCTGTATAAGTAATAATAATAACATTGCTATTTCCTATGAATTTAATGGTATGTGCGAGCTACACATATTGGTGGGGGGGGGATAGATACGTACATACATTTATGCGACGGTAACATTTGACATCATTCCATTTTGCATTGCCAGTGCATGGTTCTTAAACATCATGAAAATGTTTTCTGCTCAAAGTTTTTTTTTATTTAACCATGAAGCTGTACAGAAAAATTTTTCAAATATTTCCTGGCTGTATCTGTTGAAATATTGCTCGATAATACATTACATTTTCATCCCAATATTACGAGGACATTTTTTTTCTCTACTTTAAATGTACAATTTGCTTAAAGAAATAACTTTTAGAGTGTGATGTGATAAAATAAATAAAATACCCATGTTCTCAAAATTCTAAATAAAAAGTGTATAAATCAGTATTGACAATATATTCTTATTTTACTATCTGGTATGGAGAAGGTAATTGTACTTTTCAAGAAAATGGAACTATGTATAAATGCCAAATTATAGTGCAAAATTATATTTGACTGATTCTGCACTTCCACCTAATGAACCAACTTTCACTTCATTACCCATTTTTCAGGAAAGTCTAAAAGCCTTAAAATAATGTGTTGATAAAATCCACATGCAGAAAATAAGAAAAAGCTTTTAAGGAAAATAAATTGTATCTGATTGTAAATAAATTATTCAATACTTTCGTAGTGCACCGTCATAAAATTATTACATACAATGTTGCCTATCTAAGTGACGTATGACAGACCGTCCGGACCCACAACTGTACTTGAAGCTGATGTTGTGTACCTAATAATGAGATGAACCTTCCATTAGTGACTTTTTTATAAGCATCTACATAGTTATACTTATCAATAGCTCACGTACTTCATACCGCCGCCATAGTTGGGATTTCCAGACTGATTCGTAGACACCCAATTTGTGAAGACATCCCTGCAACAAACATTTAAGAATTTTGCCACTTTCTTGTTAATTGATACCACTAGCAATTAATGAAGTGTGACGAAAAATTCTTTCTCACCGACAGTGAGTCACGACGCATTGCGATGAACAATAACCCTCATCATATCCTTGCATATCGGCCCTAAATTAAAAATTGATACGGTTGAAAGTACTGCGCAAAAAAATACTTCATTTATAGAGCGGCTTGTGACAATAAGCATACTCTGAAGGGTTCGATGCGACGTTACTACATCCATTACGAACACAGTGAACGCGTCCATGCGAGTGATTTTGACCTTCGGCCACCATCGGATTTACTCCAGAACCAGGGTTCATTTGACCATGACCTCCTCCACCTCCAGAGGGGTGGATATTTGGTGAATTTGCCATCCCATGCTGCCCATCTCCCATCTGAAAATGAGACAAAAGTCTGAATGAACAAAGTATCTTTCAAACGAGACATGAAATACTGTGCATAAATTCATACCGTGTTCATGTACGTAGGATTATGACCCATTCCTCCATGACCATACTGCTGCTGCTGAGAGTGCTGTGATTCCAAGTGATGATGTTGTTGCATCATTGCGTGACTGTGTCCTGGTTGCTGCTGGTTAAGATGTGGGGGTTGCTGGTTGGGTGGGGGCATTGTTGACCCTTGTTGTGTTTGTTGCTGTGCTGGTGGTGACTTTTTATGCTGGGGTGCTCCTCCTTGAGATTGATTTCCGTAATAACTTTGTGGCGGTGCTTGTTGTTGTTGTTGGTAATGTTGTGAGTTAGCTATGCTTTGGTTAAAGCTTGGAGGTGGATACATGCCACTCCCGTCTGGAGAATCGGTAGGAGCCCCCTGCAATAATGGGAACAAAGAGAACTGTAATTTGTAACAGTTGTGGATATAAATGCTTTTGATGATGAGCGCTGTGGCTAATTTGTCAGAATAGTTTAATCAGTTTAGCAATGACACTATATTACTTATCTTATTCCTCGCACTCAACCTATAATGAAATTCGCTCTCTCTGAAGAACTGATTAATTACATGACTATACTGACTGAGAATTAATAAGGATATTCATCCATTCGTCTTTATCCCGTATATTATGCATGTCTCAGTTATTAGTGCAAATGTTTCAAGTTGATGGTAATATGCCAATTCAATCACTCGATCACAGTCTTGCCTAACATTTTGCATCCATCAAATAATGCAGTTAATACAAGACGGCAAAACCAAACCAATGTGTGTATGTATGTACATATAGTAGATTATTACAATTTATTATTACATCAGAAAAATACAGCTCATCATTGGTCGCTGCCGTCTCAAAAATTTCAAACTAGAGGTACTGTTATTGCGTTTGTTGATGATTATTAGCAAAAAAGGAACAAAAACGTCAAAGTGAGCTAGGAATGGTTTTGCATCCAGGTAAATAATTGTCTGTCAAGCCATGTCCCGAAACAAATCGCAAGCCGTGATCATTTGTCAAAGCCACAACTAATTTATTGTCAAAATTTATCGTCTGTCTATACATACACTCCGGTATTTTCGTGGTGGTGGTAGTGACGGAGGTGTAGATGAATTCCACGATTTGACAATCACAAAAGTGCGATTGGCTTTCAGAAATTTTATAAAGCAACGTCAAATGTACAAATGCTATCTATGCTTATGCTTTCCATAAACTGAAAATGCGACAAACTGAATGTAATTTTGAGATTTTCGGGTGTATATTTTATCTCTTTCTTATATTCGTATGTACTACTTTTGACGTTTTGAGTATACATGAGTTATGCAGATTGCTTTACAATGGAAATTCGATATATTAAGTAGCTCAGATGTGAATATGGGATGTGTAGCAAATTTCGATATTAAATCACACAGCTTACACACATATCTCTAAAACACAATCAACTAACATTTCATGCACGCGTAAAGTATGATTTTGTAAACTTTTGTAAAATATGCTCAAAACTCTAGTTCAATAAATGCAGCGAAGATCCTAATTTCCTACGTTTATCATTTCCGTGTAAATAATTCAACTATGGCCAAGATAAACGACTATTCTCAATTCTCACACGGAGGAAATTGTTTCAGTTTCGTCAAAAAATTATTAAACCTCATAAATTAACATGTGCACAAAATTCTGTTAATTGAATTGAATTCCTTTCTGTTCCCTGGCCACGACATGGATGTATATTGGAGACTTGAACGAACTCGTTTTATTATTCCCAGCAGACGTCAAGTGGAGAATATAGCGAGTTTCCTCGACACAAGAAAATGATTAATTAACACATTTTTCTACCAGCGTTGATAACAAAGTGCCGCATTTCAAAAATGTGAAAAATCTGCATTGTCTACTTTTGGTAGCATGAAGTGTCAAATTGATGGTTCAAATTAAATGTTTCACGTATCACACCACGAACAAAACAGCGTCACATGTCTGGCTTACCTTAGATACCAGAGACGCACGATAGGCTGCCAGAGCCTTCAAATATTCCTTCTTTGCAGCTTCTGTCTTTTTCTTGTAAACCTGTAAATATGCACACATTTAGTTTTACCCCTTTTCCTTTAAGGAACCACTGACATTTATTCGTTTGCGTATGGATTTTAAGGAATAGACAGTCTATGAAAAACGTAGAAGTTTGGGGAAACAGTTGAAACATGTATCTAAGTATTTATGTTTTGAATATTATGACAACTTCCTTATCAAAGTGATAACATGGATTATCTACTGCTTTTGTGGGAATGAATTTATATTCAATTACTAATCTAATAGGAGTTATGATATGCAAACCTACAAATCTCTATGATATTATATTATATATAGTATCATATTACTCCTTATAAGGAGTAACTTTTTGTCACTTTATCTCCAGCACGCATGCATGTACATACACACATAAATACATAAGATTTGCCAAATGAATTCATTAAATACAACACTATCAGTAATAAGTTGATACTTCGCATCTTCATATTATGCGTGCAAATATATGGCTCCTTCACATTTGCACGCTTGATTTTGCATATTTGCCCTGTCTGTAATTTAATAATTGTGCAAGATTGTATCATTAAGTAATTAATCAGTCTTATATAAAACCCTGGATTGTTAATCCTTGTTGCTTTGTCCAAGATAGGAGTGGACTTAAAAGGAGGCAAATAGAATGGAATCGATCTGTAATTCTTTAGAACTCGTTAATTGCAAATCCCTTTCATACTGATGTTACACAACGACTAGGAGAAAGCTCAACTTAAACTCGTTTCCCATCAAGACTCCTAGATTACGAAGTTGGAGAAATAAAAAACTTTAACTCTTCACTCTTTCTTGCTCCCGTCAAATTAATTTAAAACTTTGCAAGTCGGCATCTCTTCGTCAGCTCGGTAGAGAAATAATATGGTGAAGAAAAATACTAAGAAAAAGTGTGCTTTCTCTATTTCCTCTCACTCATACGTGGATATGCTTTGCCACCACCAACACTCACAACTATACACGCCGTACAACAGAAGCAGTCCTGCGAGCTACCCCTACGACGACTCAATGAATATCAGTCGGCGTCCCCTTTGTTAATCCCACATGGCCCAAGCCTAACCTACAACACGCTCTGCTTTCCTCCCCCAAAGAAGCTTTCCCCACTCCACACATTTCACAGATTCTGCTGCAGAGAGAACAACTCAAAACTTCTGATTTGAATTCCAGGCCTAAAAATCACAAAAGTAAACTTTGTCTTTTTTAAAGCTCGGTTTTTTTCCTTCCTTCATCTTAAATCATTTGGTAAATTAGCAAATAGTTGTGTAGAAGAGCAGAGACTACTTTCGACTCAATCTGCCATAGTACATAGTCTGGGAGGAGTGGTGGTAGTAGCAACAGCAGGAAGAATTCTCCACATGACTGCTCATCCGTTCCTAATTAAACGTTATTATTTGATTTGCATGATTGATTTGTTCCATCAAAATGGAGATTACACGTTCCATGGATTCATCGCATAACAAGGGACCTTCTGGATGAAAAGAGTTGATTTCTCGCTGATTGAAAAAAATCCGTGGATGCTGAGAAGAATATGAAATTCAAGAGCAGTATAAATAGTTACTACTTCACGTCAACTTACATTTTTATGATCAACGTCCAACCTGTAAAGTAATAAATAAATTAGCCTCCAACTTAGAGTATCTCTAAGGCCTCCAACGTATTTGAAAAAGCGCACAATGTTTTTCGTGGATCGCAAATTCACTAAAATTGTGGAGAAAGTGGGTTATTTATTATTAACTGAAATACTCACCCGTCCCACATTGATGCCTAGAGAAATAAAACACACATAATTAAGAACTAGTTTGTTACTACATCTAACACTTTGTAGATCGATATCAAAATAGTATTTAACCTACCACAATTTTCGAAACCTCTCCAAACGAAGCTGAAAATATACATTCAAAATTACAGAAATTTATACCTCACTATGAACTATCACATATTTCTGGTATCGAACACTAATGACATGAATGTATGTAACTTTCTGACATTGGAATTTAATAAAAAATTATGCCAACCGTAAGATACTACAGGAATTATTTAAATGTATGTATACAAATATGTATGTATATACATGAGGTAACATGCATATGTAAATTTGTATGTGTGCATATATGTAAGTAATAGAAATTTTAGTGCAGTACGCCGCTTACCGTTTGGGTTCTGTCCTTTTATGGCTGCTTGGGTATCGCGGAAGAAAAGGGCATAAGCAGATACTGGTCTGAAAGTGGATAAAAATAAAATTTATGAGTGCATGACATCAACACACTTATTACATGTCAACTGTCAACTCAGCCAAATTGCTGTCATCCTCATATCTGAGAGTCACCAATTACTACTTTGTAGATCTTATTCCACTCGACTCTGGATCAGCAAGCAGTGTGTTTATTCCAAGTGTCAATTCCACAAATGAGACCAATTGGAAAATAAGTACCACACGTCGCCTAAGCTTCGTCCCCACCTTCGTGCATTTTAACGAGGTGCTTGCGATTAAATTTGATATCATGCATTATATCGTGAACTATGCACTACATACATTTTTGAGTATTATTACATATATCCAAACTCTAAAGCAACTTAAAATACTGCATGTATCTAGATCGGTGTGTGCAAGAAGTTTTCTATTTTTAAGACTAGAACCGACTGTCATTTGGTGGATCATCTCACTTCTCAAAATGCCACTTTGTCTTTGTGGATGAAACAGCGTTTTTGATCCTTTTCCTTCACTCACAATCAAGATAAACACTTTTAAGAATCAAAGGATATCTTCGTCAAATCAAAGTTGATAACGTCAATCCGTAGTGATCAAGGAACGAATTGGATGAAATAAGATGATTTTCCATCTCTCTCTCTCTCCCTCGCTCTGTCCCTTTCAGTCAAAGCTAAATGTTTCATCCGTCCATGCATTACACATGATGTGTGGAAGCAGGAGAAGGTGAGTCTCAAGAACCAGGAGGGAGTGAAAGTGAAAATGGATCCAACAAATATAAGTATATTTGACTCTATATTTTTATATGCGCTTTCCCATAAGATATCTGCTTTTAACTCTAATAATAATGTAAAGTCAATTTTAAAGTAAAATTCAAAATATATTTTTAACTACTGTGATGATAAAATTTCGCTCATCACGGACAACTTATATCATATTCTATAAAATTGTGACCAAATTACAAATGTGAACTCTATCTCAAAGTAGATTTTTGTTGTATTTTATGCACGAAAGAGACAGAGTACCATCTCGTCGTAGATGTAATGCAAAGTCACAAAGTTGGAATTAGAGTTAAGTCTTTATCTGAAGGAACAAAGTGCTGGATGGACTACAGCTCTCTTTGTGTGCACTTTTCATGTATCCAATTGTGTGAGGAGTGATATGATAGTTTGGTGAAGTATTGTTTGTAGGGTGAAAGTGAGGGAAAGGATGGTGGGTGGTGGTGGTGATGGTGTGAAAACGGAATAAAATATCGAAACGAAGAAAACAAAAATGTCCCCAAGAATCAATAAAAGCACTTTCAATTTTCTTTCCCTTTCCTTCCTCTGTTCCCCTCATCTTTTAAGACACATCCAACAAAACACACTTCCTCCTCTCTCCTTTCACTCACTCACTTAGTTGCTCTCTATTTTTTCTTACTTAACTCGCCTCCAGTTTTACACTTATACTTATTTAGTTTAGTTTGCTAGTTACTTTCATTGCACTTTCCTCCCTTTTTGGGAAAGGGAGTGAGTGAGTGAGTGATTGTGCGAGGATCTAACTCAGCAACAAGCAACCATCAAACACAAAAAATAAAATGCTCTTGTACTTTTATGTATTTATTTTAAACTCTGTCCATTTCACTCAATTCATTCCCTTTTTCATGATTAATTCATTCCAACCCCTTCTTACATTACTACTGCGATGTACAGTGTTGTCCGTGTATAGGAGAAAACTTTAACCCTTGATGTACAACTTTATATAGTCTGATGAAAGGAAAACTCAATTTAGGAATCAATTTCTCAATCTATAAAGTTAAGATAGCCTTTCGTTGAATTCGTATTCCTTCCGGTATTGAAAGAAATTACTGAATTACGAAAAATGCAACAGTAGTTCCATTTAAAACGAGAAATATCTCAAGTTACAAACTTATTGAGCTTTATAGTTCCAAGAAATTAGGCTATTTTGAAGGTTTGTATATATTATGATTTTTAGGATCTGCATAAAAGACTTTGATATATCTGTGTGTTGTCCATTCCAAAAATCAATTGGTCGTAAATCATGTTAAACTAACTGTGTTTAGACGCAAAAAATGAAATTGGTGTATATTCTTCAAGCAAGGACACAAATAAAGTACAAAGAGGCGGAAGATAAACAGTGGAGCAGTGGCAGTCAACCCTTTCTTCTCCTTGGGCTCCCTCCTTCTCCGTAAGTGAAACACAAATGAGAAGAACAAAGTTTTAGAGAGACAAAGAGAGTGATGGCTTTGTAACAATAGAATTGGACAACGGGACAAAAAATTGAGCCAAGTGCATCATAATATCAGTTTATTATTTCCATATAATTTTACGACTGCATTAAAGATAAATGCGATTTAGCACACCTTCGTAGCTGGCAGGGCTTGTAAGTCTCTCGCACATATCTAGAAGCCCACGTAGGCTTGTATCCCATTGTGCAAGGCGTTGTGCCGGGTGTGATGAGGGTGAAAGTAGAATAAAGTATTTTGCCCCAGCCAAGTAATAAAAATGTCCTTGTACTCGGAGGTGAGGGTTGGGGTTGCCCCAAACGCCCTTATGTTCAACAAATTTTAATAGATTTTTGGACAATAATGTAGGATTTTTTATTTTCTTCATTCATTAATGCAAATATATTATGGCTCAGTTGCTGGACGCATGCGGACTTTGGAATCCGCATTATCAATACTCGCACCCCAAGCCACACCTACTCAAGGGTCAGTTGCTGACCCTTAAACCGACTTGTAGATATATATCTCGTCATTCGATTTTCCTTAGGATTTCTAATCAGAGAACGAAGTTCGCGGCGACTGTACTCAAAACGTTGAGACAACCAATAACAATAGTTGAAAAAGTCTTGTTTACAAAAAAAGACAAGTCGAAACACGATTCTAAAACTTTGTTAATTGGACCGGTCCAAACTGTTAAAATGGAATTAAATCAATCACTTCTTCTCAAACCTTCAGTACGTGCACATCTCTCTCACAATATTTTCTAAAAGTTTGAATAGTTTTAGAAAAAAACAAACCCCTGGCTTTTTTAAGTCCACATCCCCATCACATCATGCCCCCTAAAAAGATCCCAAAGGTCAGTGTGGGACCTCTCGACGTTTTAGTGGGAAGGATGAATGCAAACCCTCTAAGGACACTGAATAATAACAGGTGAGTACACGTTTTGTATTTGTAAATATTTGACCGGTCAAAATAGTTAATTATATTTTAATTATATTTATATTTTTTCAGGAATCATGCAGGAGAAGAGGTCGCTTCATCTGGTAGGGGACAAGAAAATGAGGTTGTTATTGATATGTAAGTAAACAATTTGCATCAAAATTATTACTTGACCGGTCAAGATTGTGTAAATTATATGATTTGCAACTTGTATAACTCTGTAGAAGTGATAATGAAGATGAGCTTGGATCCCTTGACGAATTGAACAGGTCCAGTACCCAGCCAGGACCTTCGACACCTCAGCCTCATTATCGACACGGCAATGTAAGTACATATAACTTATTAATTAATTTTCGTTATGTTATTATATTAATTGAATCGTTTCAATGTTTTTATGTTGTAGTTGTCGAAAAATAAACATGAGCAGCTAGCTCGAGAAGAGTTACTTGACTGGTTGGGAGGGGTCGCGAAAATGAAACCAAGACCGGTTCGGAACGATACTATGAGGGAGGATCTGGAACGAAAAGCTAACTGGGGACAGCAACGTTACGACGGCAAGTTGGAGGTCCTTTTTGCCACATCTATTCCTAGTAAATGCCGTTATTCTTTACAGTTTTTGGACCGGTCCAAATTTTATATTAATCATAATCATATTTTATTTATATTCTAGAGTCGCCTGTGAAGGGATATTACATTACCAGATCAGATGGTAAAAGAAACGGGTTGTCCTCTTATTATGGTAGCCAGATGAGAGGAGGGATCTCCCAAGCAAAATCAGATAGAAACGAAGCTTACTTGGATCCATCTCATCCCTTGCATGAAAACATTAAAATGAGCATGACACAGTCCACTCATAATCGTCCACCAATGGACCTCATTTATGTCGCTACTCTCTTCCCTCCAGAAGAAATAAAACCTAATCTAATGGAGACTCATTTGGGATTGGAACCGGTCCAAAGTGAGGAAGGATCGAACCATGGGTTAGTGGAAGAATATGGTGGGAGTTGTTGTGGTGATAAGGGACAATTTTCTATTCGGGCGTCCCATTTCACAATGACTTCCGAAATTTACATCCGTACAATTGGACGACTTGTTGACCCGATGGCCTGCATGGAGAAAAAAATCATCCTATGTGACTCGACAAGCACTAAGGAAATGGGGGAGGGGTTTATGATGGTAAGTACTTTGCATTTCATATTTCTTTATGTGTTTGGACCGGTCCAACAAATAATCTGTTGTATTTCGAATTTTAGATTTACATGCAAAGATACAATCGGATCCACAATTGCAACCGTTACATTATCACCGTGACTGCAACTCCTCCACCGGACATTATTCGTAAGGCACAGAAGTACGCAGATGATGGTGTTCCATTGTTTAACATTATCCAAGATGGAGACCAGGCCCACCCTCCTCCTTGGGCCACACTTGATGAGGTGACTACACTTCCATGGACAGGATCTCATCGTTCGATATGATCCCCGTCACCCCGATGTGAAGCGTCACTACAAGCACTTCCAGAATTTAAAACAATTGATTGACGAGTTTGGTGAGCCACCAACTACTTATTATGTTACCGGGGATGGATCACGGGATCATCTTAAACGACAATTCGATGCAATTATTGCTTCTAGAGATAATAATTAATTACTTTTTTTTGTAATATTTGGACCGGTCCAACTGCTAAGGTTTATTGTTTTGTTCTACCCTATTTTGTTTGACTGGCCAGTCAAAAATGCATTTATGAACGTATTATTATTGACTATGTCAGAACTTTTAAATAAAGGTGAATGACGTAACTAGAGATGCAAATGTGTACAGGAACGTGTACCTTCTTTCTCTCACTTTCTCTTACACACGGCTAGCATCTTTCTCTCCCAGAAGAAGCAAATTCGACCCTAAACTAAGGATTCTCTGCAAATGTGAAAGCATTTTTATGAATTTGTCTGCATGTATTTCTAAGAATATGCGAGAAACGATCCTCTTTCTATATTATTGCATTAATACTTGCCCCAAGAATGCTTAGTACGTACGTATGTATGTAGAAGGGAAAAGGAGTTGCAATTGAAGGAAGGAGAGGAGTACAGAAATAAGGGCAAGGCAATCTCTTATCTCTAGAGGGAATATCCGTGCTCTACCCTTATTGTACGTACGTATGTACAGCACTCTTATACAATAGAATGAAATGCTCTGGGATTTTTATTCTATTTTATTTCACAAGAATTTATATTTATTTTGTGAAATCTGAGCCAGCCTGAGAAGGAGGAAAATAAGGAGGCAGGGGAAAGTACGCAAGGACACGAGTAGTGCAGAGCAGCTAACGTCGAAATTGTTAGTGCTCTCTTATTGCTACATCTCGAGCACCAGTTGGATTTCGGGATGGCACTAGAGGGAAAATTTTTGTGTTTTTTGATAAATGTTTCAAACAATAATATGTGACATTGCTTATTAAATTATTTCTGTTTCCGATTTTTATGCTCCCCTTCCCAGAATTGGCTTCCCTTTATTCTCACCCGGCTATACACAGCCAATGGATCGATAAACTTGCTGTTTGTACAAACAGAAACTAACCATCATGCCACTTGATAAGAGATCTATTGCGTTGTACTACATACACACTACTAGTTAGAGTTTTTGTCCCACTCGTCCGTGTATGCAGTGATATACTCGTGTAGTAGTTACATATTTGAAGCATTTTGGTATTCATTTCTCTCTTGCCACTTTCCTTTCGTCTGCCACCCCAAGAAATTGAGGAAGCAAGATACAGTTCAACTATTTTTGTATTCCTAATCCCTCTCAAAATACTAGGTGACAATTCTATAATGACAAAAAAGACAAAGACGAATAGCTGCTTTCTCCAGAGAGAGAATGCGAGTGGATTGGAAATGGAGGAGACCGTTTCTTCAAAAGGTTTGAGTTATTGATATCATTTTATTTTTCATTTTGCACCACTCCATTCATCATTGGAAATTAATGCATTACCAAAATTATACTGAGAATTAAGACAATATATTATTCCTAGGCTTCCCTTCCTCCCACCTATTTAACCACGGGCACGGGATGCCACGTATTCAGGTCTCATAATGCTTCTCACTTTCCCCAAATTGAGAAACGACTCATCCTCAGAGCATTTGTTGGGAAATGGTATGCAGTTTTGGAGTACTTACTTTTGTGGCTCGTTAGGGTCTCGTTTCTTTTTCTTCTTTTGCGCCTTCTTCTTCTTCTCGGCGACGGGGGCCATTGCAGTCCGATCTGGTTCTGGACTGGGTCGCTTCCCAACCACTCCCATCACTCCAGGAACAGCACCTACGCCCTGCAAAACCAACACATTGTTCTTTATTAAATGAGCTCAAGTCATTTTTAATTGACGGGTTACATTGTTTATGAGGACTTTGTGCATATAAGAATGGCGATTTTTTGTCTCAGGTTGTCTAATCTGCGCAAAGGCCTTATTAAATGGAGATTAAACAAAAACTTGGTTTACTGATTTAAAATACGTACCGAATAGGCACTTATGTAATATTCATTTAATTAGTAGCTTGTGTTTGGGATTTCTAATGTGTCTACTTAATACTCCATAATATTTTCTAGTTAAAAAACCTACTCCAAGCAACTTTGCGAGGCCTTTTAAGACGGCATTATTACATAAAAGCCAGACTCTAATGAACGATTGGCATATAATTTTTAGCCCGGACTAGGGCTTATGTAATCGACCTGTCCGTCTGTCTGTCTTTCCATAACTTTCGAAGGAGTAGGCTGATTTTTACCAAATTTGATACAGACATGCATCTGGGCATCGACCGAGTTCGAAGATGGGTTAGTGTTTCTCACGGGTCGGGTTCTTGCAAATCCGAAACCCGAACCCGAACCCGATGCCACTGATCCGAAACTTGAGGGCAACCCGAACCCGAAACCCGTTTGCAACGATCCGAACCCGAACTGGCGGATCAAATCCGAAACCCGAACCCGAAAAACCCGAATATATTTTAACTTTAAGGGGTGACTGGCTTTTTAGCTAAAAATTCTTTGGAAGGTTTCAAACAAACAATACTTCTGTAAATATGACCGAGGAATTATAATTAAGCACATTTCTGCATAAGTACATAACTCTTAATTCCTTGACCATAATAATGCAATCTCAAAAAATCGACCATGAATAATGGCTTTCCGTGACATTCAGAAATTTTTAAATCAGTTGAAAACTGAAAATGATTTTCAGTTTCAAGTTTCCAATATTAAAGTAAGCTCAAGCTAAATATTTTGCAAATTTTTGATAAAAAATATATTTTATTTTAATATTCAAACCATAACACTAATTGAAGACACTTGTGAAAAGAAGTTACGACAATTAAAAATTTGAATTATTTAATGAATTACTGCAGCATAACCGTCGTAGCAAGTTTGGTTAACACTTTATTTTCTTTTTTAATGTTTTCGTGTTCGTTGTGGCAAAAAGTTCTTGTTGGTTCGGGTTTCGGGTTCTTAGTCGGAACCCGAACCCGACCCGAACCCGAAATTTTGGGATCACATTTCTCGGACCCGAACCCGAAAGTTTCGGGTTCAAAAATTTCGTATCCGAAGCAGGACCCAAACCCGATCCGAACTCGAAACCCGAAGTAAGAACCCGAACCCGTGAGAAACACTCGATCAAAAAACATTTAGACCAATGAGTGGTACCCTGGACACGACTATCACCTCGAAAGTATCCCTTGTTAGCTAACTTTTAATTTCAAATTCTTTGATGAGAAGCCACTAATTGTAAGTATTACCGTGCCGGATTTCATGTTTTTAACGCAATTTCTAAAAATAGATATGGATAACCGCATCAGATATAAATTTTACCAATTTCATTTCATATTGTTCCATTAAGACCCATTTGCAACCTCTCTCCCAAATTTCACTTCGATATGACGATTTTGAAAAATCAGTATGGGTCACCCCATAGGGTCCATCAAGATTAAAATTTTTCCAACCTAAATTCATTTTTGTCTGTTACAATCCACTAGCAACCTTTGTTCCAAATTTCAACTACCTACTACAAATTTTAGAAATCCGTCGGGTCACCCTATCGGGTCTCCCAGGTTTAAAATTTCTGAAACTCCACTCCAATTTAAACGCTTTGAGGTCAGTCGCAATCTTCATACTAAAATTACTTAAAATTATTACTATAGATATTTCTCAAGCTACAAATATTTTACTTACACTTAAATAATTTAACCTGCTCTAAAGGTTCTTGGTAGTTAAGGGCAACGCATTTGGATGGAAATGACCCCCACCGGCCAATTACTTGACCGATCATGCCCATCTCCGAACTCATCCTTACTTTTGACCCGAAGATGAAGTGTGCAAAATTTCAAGTCGATAGCTTTTGTTTAAAGAGAGTTATCTTGCGCACAGACGGACGCACAGACGGACGGACAGACAGACATCTTGGTAAATCTATAAGGCCATCTTAAAAGGCCTAAAAATTATGAAATAAGACTAGTGATAAAATAAATACAAATATTGATTTGCGTATGAATGACGCACGTTTGAGAGAAAATTGCATAATATTTGTTTAGTAGTTTTTTATCACAATTTTTAGGAAAATCACATTTCTGAAGAATTAAATGATATCATTATTCCTTAATGCATCATTAGTGCATGCATGCACTTTGTATTTAATGAAAATATTTTAAGGTTAATTACATTAACACTTTTGCAATCAACTTATAGATACATAAGTAGAGAGAGTGGTCTACATAGTTAATAAATTCTTTAATATTTCTTTCCTACGATGACTGTCAGCAAAATTGTATCAAAAAGCCCAAATTATTTGTGTTCATTCTTAGCCTGAGACGAGGCTTATTTCAGCATCAAGACATGCTCCATGCACAGGACAGATACATACGCACATGTATAAGCATATAAGAATGAAGGTTGTAGCTCATAAAGCCAGCACGACAATTACTACACGTTACATTGTCTCTCGTAAAATGGAGGGCTAAGCTCCTTATAATTTAATACGTATGTATTCAGTTGTGACTCGGTAATAGCAGAATTGTAGTCGTAGTAATCGTGGTAGTAAGTTATTATCGAAAATAAACCTGACTCTAACTCAACTGCCTGCTTAAACAGAACTGACGTGGAGAAGATGATGGTGCTTGGCCAAGACTAAATGACTTTGAATTCGAAATGGGATAGTATTCAGGCCTAAAGTAGTGTATTTTATATGCAATGTTATTATTTTTACAAGCCATTTGCTCTCTGCATTCTCGTCCCTTTCCCCCTCACTTTGAATCTCATTTTCTCTATAAAATGGTCCATGAGGACAGAAAAAGTTTGTGGGTCGTGTACGAAAGAAAGGGTTTAATTTTTTCAAAAAAGGGAAATACTACTACGTTAAATGGGCAAAAATGGCAGTTAAATTCGGAATAATCATAATCAGGCATGGTTAAGAGTGATCTCCTTGCAGGAGAACAGGGACAATTGAGTGAAGGAGACGCTGATCTTGGAATATTTTCCCCACTTTCTCCAGGGCGCCTTGTGCATACCTGGGCGAAAAAGTAGAGAAAATGTGATCAACAATTGGGAGCAGAGGAGAAGGAGGTAAGGAAGGAAAGTGAAGGGAGTCCAGAGAAAGTGAGACCGAGTGAGTGACGCGTTTGGTGGCGTTTGGCGTGTGTGGTGGTTCTCTGCTCCACTCACTTGACTGGAGGAGAGAGTAAAATGGGGGAATTCATAATGGGAGAAAACGATTTCTCGTGCATAGAAATGACTTATTTGTAAGCGTACTTATTTGTTGGGGATGAAATTGAATCAAAAATTCAAAGAATTCTCTCATTTCCTCTCTTTCCAAAGGAGGAAAAAAACAAGATTTTGTTGGTTATGTGTGTAGGCTGCCTTGCAAATTCCCTTATTCTACTTGCATTATGCTGTTATTCAGCTCACTCAAGTTTTTTGAGAAAAATTTGTTGCCATCTCAGACAAAATCCATTTTTCATCTCTTCCTGATTCTCTGTAACAAAGAAAAACAATAAATCTCCAATCTCTAATTTGATGGCTTCATACTTTTTCTTTTGAGGAGAAAGGAGTACTGCAAATACTTTAACGCCATTCTTCCTCCTTCAAGTCCAAAGTAATAACTAAACTAAACGATTTTCTTCTCCCCCCATTTTTTCATGTCTCTCTCTCTCTTTCTACTCATTTCATTCCAACTTTAATCAATATTGGATTTGCATTTCACCCTTGAAAAAATTTTAAATGTTAAACCAACACTAAAAAAGTATTCATTTTGAAATGCTCCTGGCGCTTGTTGGTGGCTGCATGCAGAGGGAGGGTGCGTAGGATGGGCGGTTGATTGCATTTTGTTTTAGGCTGGTTGAAACGTGCACTAAATCACAGAAGAAATACGTTTACATTAAATATTTAATAATTCGTAACCGACAATGCTGAATGTTTCTTGATTACTTTGCGTATTTAGTTATCTGCTTTGACAAACTGTTGTAGATTGAACAGTTATTTATCATTGCTGAATTTCACTCTGTGCATACTGCGGATGGTCTCTAATTTCATTCCGATCAAGTTCATGCGTCGTCAAATACATATATGAACTTACTTGTATAAAACTCGCCTAGGTAAATGCGAAAGAATTTCCCCATGAGACATGCATTAAAGTGAAATAACTCTGTGTGGAATCAAAGAAACAAGGGGTGCAAGTTAAAGAAAGAGGGGAAAGTACTTGGCCCACCTTTCTACTCTGACTCAGAAGAGTACCGAAATAATATTCGTTTCCTCTTCTGTAGTCAAAAGTCTATGTGTTTCTCTCCAAGGTGGTATCAGGACTTGAAGTTATGAGACAGTGCACACACCTTTCTCTCCTCTTCTTTTTTTGACTCCCTTGTCTTAGCATTTCGAGAAAGATTGCGAGATAGGGCAAAAGTCAATACATAATTCAGAGAGTAGTAGAAACATATAAAATAAATTTTTCTACTTCTTCTTTGGGATTCATTTTTAGCCAGCTCATGGAGTAAGCCCATAACTCGTTTCACTTTGTCAGTGAAGGTAAACTATTTCTTCTCCTCCTTCATTTTTTACTTTTACAATTCAATCATTCACCTCACTTGTCATATTCAAATTATACGAATTGGAATTGATAAGAAAAGTTGGGTAAATGGTGGCAATTTGAATATATAAATCAAATGTTTTTTATATACATTTCCTCTCAAGGAGATCATGCCAACCCTGTCGTATCTTCTCCGCTAAAGTTTTGAAGCTGGTAAACTTTTCATAAATGACAGGCTGATTCGACTTTTATGATTTTAGGGGAGACATGTATAGAGCCCGCTCACCAGAGGAACGCTGTCGTCACTGTCCTCAGAATGTGATTCAGGATTTGCTGGCGACACGGAGGAGTTGTTTGAAGGAGATCGTCTCAGAGGTACATTGGTGCCCATGACTGACTGTCGAGGTGGGTGTGGCCCAGGCCGAGAGTGGTGCAACATGTGCTGCTGCTGCGGGTTCCCCATGGGTGAGTGCGATGGTGGGTGTGGACTCGACAGGTTCGTGTACGTTGGTGGACTTCCATATGAGACGGGGGAACTAAAAATAAAACATTGAGCAATTCAAATACAGTTCATACATCGATGTTGTGTGCAAGGTGACAGCAGAAGGTGCAGAGGAATAGTGGTGGGACTCACTTCATTGTCATCGGTGTTGTCATGTGCTGTAAACAATTCCAAAAATAAATCCAATCAATAGTTTGACTAAATTAAAATATGACCCTGGGAAAAGTAGTTAACCAATTTAAACTATGTACCTCAGGTAAATACATTGGAGAGTAGTGTTGATGCTGTTGTGGATGTTGACCCTGATTTACACCGTGCATTCCGTGCATATGCTGAAATACAAAAAAAAGTCATTTGATAAAAATTAATCATTTCTCCAAAATAACACGATGATCAACATTGCTCTGATGATGTGAAATCAAGTTTGTCAATTTTCGTTCCTCTCACACTATTTCTTTCTCGCTCTGACTCTTGATTCAAGAGCCATGAAAGCTTGACTCACGATTATTAAATGGGGAGAAGCATTTGGAGAAAATGTCCATAATTCAAACGACAAAGTCATGAATAACACAGAGTGCAAGGAAAGTCGTGCAAAGTTATCGCCATGGACTGCCCAACGATGATGATATGCAAGCGAGTTAAAGGAGCATCACAAACGAGATAAAATAAAATTGGAACTTGACAGAAGTTTATCGAATACAGAAGCATGCAGTTGGAATAGAAATGGGGGTGAAGTGATCTTGGGCAAACTTTTGCTCAAGACCGTTCTTGCTTTCACACAGCTCAAGGAGGGCGAGCCTGGTTCTGGACGAAGAGCTACACACATCTCAATCTCACAAGAAAATTTTTATGTTTAGATATGTATGCGCGTACCCTCTTTCTTTGGTACGTACATACCTCAACGTTGAGTCTCTCCGTTGAGAAGAAAGTAAGAAAATAAGAAATGAATAAAAAGAGAAGATTCTCTTTTGGTGCAATATAAATTTTTCATTTTCTTTGAGTAATTTGTCATTCGTTTCACATGATTTTCATAAATTCTCCTTTTGCAAGCAAAGACGAAAGCGATTTTAGTCGGAAGAAAAATTGTTCGTTTTTTTATTTCTTTCTCCTCTTCTTTCTTTTACCCTTTCTGTCTCGTGCCACAGCCACCTCACTGATAAAATTGATAGCACTCGTTATACCAAGTGCTCCTATATCAGGTTTCGGGACTCTCAACGTTCTAAAATTACACTAACCGACCTACGAGTTTAATTCAAAAGACAACAAATTATTATTTTTCCTCTGTTTCCTCTCAACTTTTATTTTGCACACCCAGTTGTGTAATATTTGCAGAAAGAGGCGCACCCACATATCTGAAAATATATATGCATGTAAGTATTTCGTGTATACATAAGTACATTTTTTCTCCATGTTATGTTAATGCTCTATATATTACGTACATATTCTAAATATTATTCATTCTCATTAAACGGAGCTCTTTTTATTATTCAAGTATTCCCATTTAGCGTGTCCTCTTAGCGTGTGGAAAACTTTTAAAGAATTTATTCGAATTTGAGAGTCGTACAAAATGTGTCAAAATTAGATTTCACGAGATCACATAGAGTTTTGATTATGAAAAGCACTTACCGAGTAGTGATGAATGTTGGGATCGTGGGAGTGCGGAGCAATGGGAGGAATGTCGAACTCCTCGTCACCGAAATTGGGTGTGTGAAAAGTCTGCAAAATTAAACATTACATTTACATCACAATAATTGAAATGCTTTCTCATACCAAGTCTAATAAACAAGGGAAATTCCAGGAGCAAAATGCCCAGAAATTCATTAATTTGAAAAGATATAGCATCACAAAATGGGAGGAAACTTTACGAAACATACTTTTATTCTTGCTCTGTGTACTTACTTGATCAGCCATGTATCTGGAGGAGTAATGAGTCGGTGATGCGATGGACAGACCCACTCCGACACTAAAATTGTCAGAACCCTGTAGATAAAACAGACAGAAAGTGTTGTTGAGAAAAGAAATGAAAAACTTTTGGGAAATGAGCAATAAAAAAATTTAATCTCAAAACTGCATAACGAATTCAAGAAATCCAAAAGAATGAAGCGGAAACCAAGTGAAGCAGTAATTAAAAGTTTCTTCTCCATTTTACCACATTTGCCCATAAGTTGCGCACAACTTTTTTCTAGCCGAGCTAAAATGCATACATACAAAGCAGGAGCCGTTATGATAAAGTCTCAGAGACAGTTAACCGTATCATGTAATTTCTCCTTCATTTCATTTCCATGCTAAATAATATTTTAATCTAACTGCTAACTGTTTTTATCCGGGGTGCATAATATATACAAAAGTACATGCAAAAGTCATATTTTTGCATTCTGGAATAAACATTTGCATTTCGATTAAACCCAAAAATCCGTGTTAATGCAATTTCAAAATTAAAGTCCTTTGAACGACCCGATATTTCGACTGATACGTCAAAAAGTAATTCGAATGCATTTCATATTGGATAATTACATTATATTGTATCAATATTTACTTGGGCAGCATTAATTAAAGGGGATGATTCATCAAGTACTGACTGTTCTACGAGCATGGCACTAAAGAACAAGGCAAATATTCTCGTAGCATATTCCTTACTCTACCCTCAGCTTGGAGCGACTGAGATAATTTATTATGCAAACCTGTCGCAAACGCCACGTTCAAAAGCCACGATTTCAGGTGTATTTTTTGTATCCCTAATATCTGTGAAATGAGATACTTAATTACGACGGTGAATGACTGTTCTGTTGAGCCGAATATAAAACAAGGCAGGAAAAAAAGACTCTCTTCCTCCCTCGCTATTTCAAATTTGTCTGAATTGCTTGATTAAATTTCATTGTTAGTGTATTTGTGATACTGACTGCAGTAAAACTTTTTTTTCCCTGTGAACCTTTTTTTTATTTGGTGGAATAGAGAAATTAAGTCATGGCTTCGTTCGTATTATATCTACTCGCTTAATAATGAAAGGATTAAAATAATACCTTTCAAATTTAAATAATTTGCTATTGATTGCGATTAATTGGACAGAAAAGATATATTATTAGCTAATTAGCGCTGATTATTTTTGAGAAATCATGACAATCTTTTCATCTCGGCGAGAAGTCCGTGCAAACTGTTTACGTTGGCCAATGCATATTTATGTGTATCAATCGTGCCACTGTGGACCTCACCTATTTTATTTTTTCACTGTGAAGTATGCATGCATCGTGAAAATGAGAAGACTCGACAAATGTTCCATAATTCATCATTAGCTCAATATTCAATTAGTCTAAAAAAATCTTTTTTATATAAATACTTCTAATGCCAGTAGGAGGACTTGATTGTCTTAATTTTAAATGTGCATGTTAAGTTAATTAGTCAATTAAAATCTGTTCTAATTTCTCTAATGAATATACATAATAATGCATACATTATTATTTACATATAAATACTTAAATGTACATTAACTTGAGGATAAACAAAATTAAATCTGAAAAGCCTGGAAAATATTATTTGCATACCCTCGCACGGTGCATGACCGCACAGAAAAGTTCAATTTGAATTATAACCAAAAGTTATTACTGGTTCGAATGAATGAAAATATAATCATCTCATAATGAAATTATTGCAACCCATTGAACATTTCTGAAAAAATACTTTGAGCAATAATTCAGCAGAATAATTTAAAATGATGTGGCAACAAATAACTCGGAGCTTCGTAATAAAAGAGAGAGAGAAAGATAATGTGATATGTGGATATTAGAATTCACTTTGTCTGCTCCCAAGCAGTTCGGATTCACGGGATGATGCTACACTAGACTTCACTTTAATAATTTCATATTATTTCCGATCCACAATTCCTTCTCTCCCAGTTTAGTTTCCCAGAGCAGAGAGAGGAGAAAGGGGGACGGCCTTCTTCTTATTCCAATATCACATCATGTCATACAAATTCATCCTTATGCTGATGCGTATACGTTCGTACCTCGGAAATCTTTTACTCCCAGCACATTTCTGTGAGCATGACACAAATGCATACTTACTCGTCGCGTGTGTATATGTATGTAGCTGTTCTCTATAATAATTCCATCTAAATCTTGCCTGCGTACATATATGAATTGCCTGACGTCATGGGCTATTTGTTAATTTTTTCAGTGTAAAGCCATATTTCAATATAATCTGACATGTAATCAAGCTTATTTGGTTGGGGTGAAAAATTCCGAGTCAAAATATTCATTCTGTTTCAACTTTATATGCCTTTCTTCTTTCTCTCCTTGCTGGAGCATGAAAGAAACTCGTATCTTTTGCCAAAGGGGAAAAAAATGGAGCAAAAATTCAAAATATGTATTGAGCAACATAGAGTATAATGCTTTTTATTCTCATGTCATGTCCCACCATTACTGTTGACTCGGTTGACAAGGAGGGCAACAAAACAATTCTTTTATCTCGTGGTGGTATTGGTGTGGGACTTCTTCAAAGTCTCAATCACATCCCAGCACAACATAACACTTGTTTTTATACTGCACTTGAATTTTGCATGCATAACATAACTAAGCACGAGTGAAAGTGCTGCGTGGCGTTGGGTGGGCAAAGAAATGAAGTGACGATGATTCTTTTTGGAAGTGGATGAGACAAAATTCCAAGCTCATATCGTAACCATTTCATTCACTTTTCAGATCATACAAAACTCTTTGACTTTGATTTTCTCCATTTGACTTTGTGGCCTTGCACATTGCTTATCGAGTGTGGGAGGCAAAAGGAGGATCGGGTCTTTTATATTCTGATCTTGTGAGTGAGTAAAATCATCCCAGAAACCTAGGCCTGCTTCTATAACACGTACGTATGACTCGGTCGTGGGTACAGTCCAATAAACATTCAAATTCAAAACATTCATTTATCTTCCCAATGTTTCTAACAATAAAAATAACACTTGCGACTTGCACACCAACTAAAATCGTAAGAAAACTTTCTGGTTTTATTCACCGTGTGTAAATACGTCAACTTTTAGTTGGGGTGTGCTCTTACGCATAACAGCGAATGTTACTTTTTGAGAGGAAAATATTTAAACCTGTGCTTGGTGATTTTTTTTTGGTTTGAGTCATGATACCACTTCTAGATATCTACATATTCTACATATGCATGTACATAGGAGAAGAGAAACCTAATGTCTGGTGCCGTGTACTATGTATTACATAAATGTTTCCTCCTAGCAATTATGTAGCTTGTTATACATAATTATACAAGATTTTCCTAAATTAAAGAAACCAAAATGAACGTCAATTAACTAATAACTCTCTTGTAATGAGTCAATTTTACTAAAATTAAAGAAAAATAGTAATCAAAACCCACCCAATTTTCTTTGTCAAACATTTATGGGCAAATCATTGGTATTAATAAAGAGGAAATATCATGGTGGGCTCTCCATAATAAAAATATTATTTGGAAAAAGGGGGAGCATGTAGATGGATGGATGGTAAGTTCCTCAACAGAGTTTCATAACCTGCTCTTATTTTCTGATCGAGCCCACTGATAATTCCACAGTACACTTAATTATCCGATATTTATAAGCAAAGGCAACCTTCTACAAATACAACAACTATTCTTTTCGGGGAAAAATAAATATCTGAGGGAAATGTCCTAGCTTGGCGACGACAACTTTTAGAAACACATTTCCATAACATGACACCAATATGAATAATATGTCATTGGCTGTATTGGTGGTGGGTGACCAAGCTAACCAATAAACAGCTCATAATTTTTAGAACAGGTTTATTGTCGAAAGAATGGTAAATTCAGATGGAAATTTGGTTGGGCACATTAATTAATCACGAGCATCCCCTCGACTCATCAGGGGGGAAGAGGGACGAATATAAAATAATTATTGTAAATTGATTATTTAGCCACCCTCGTCCAAAGGGGTGTTTGTTTGCCTGAGGAGAGAGTCACTCTTTTACTTTTAGTACTGGTCGTCGTAGTACAAGTTGAATATTAGATGGCAATATCGTGTTCAACATTTAGCGTACAACTCTCAATTTCGAATAACACTAGTTTCAAAGCTTGGTCCATGTTTACATTAAATTTAAAAGAAGTTGAATCAATATTTACTCTATGCTCTGCAAATTACGTAAAATCAGAGTGTGCGTAAGCAAGCAGACGGAAACGAAATATTCATCCAGCCCAACTTGGACCCACTCTAATGTATCCTCGGAACCAAACAAAAAATCCCAAACAGATTGACCCCCATACCTCCCCAAAACATACTAAACAACAATATGTACTGCTGGAAAACTGTTCTGGAAACTGTTCAGGGGGAAGCGTGCTGGGACTCTCAAATTTCTCTGCTTGCAAACCAAACCAGAACAAACTATTATTACACTGGGACTGGGACTCAGCAAAAGTAAACGCGAAATTATTTTCTCTACACTTTTTAGTTTCAGTTTAGGCCCACGAGGGGAACATACTAAGTCAAGTTCCGGTTCTGGAATGAATCTGCGTACCCTTACTGTTACCCATGCACACGAGGAGAAAGCCTCGCCGACGGTGGATATGTTTAGTGGAGCAGAATATCATGGTCATATGTACACATAGAGATGTATGTAAAATGGAATAAGACCGACAATAATACACACGAAAACAGGATACTCTGTAGACCACGAGCACCATAGCATGACATTTAATAGGTCGTAGTTTTCCATTATTTTCCAATATTCACAAGCTGATTAAATGGTTAAAATCTACGCACGTGCCAAAACAATAGCCGAAGATCAAAACCAGCCTCTCTGATCTAGTCCCATGCATGGGCAGATATGGAGAAAGAGGGCCGTTGTTGATGTGTGGGGAGAAAGCAAGGTGGATGGAAACGAGAGGAGAAACATTTATTTTGCATTCAGCCAACCAGCAGCAGCAGCAGCCGGGTCGTCGTGGTATGAACGGAGAGAGCCCCAAGTTACCAGGTTTATTACTTGCTTCATCCTCCAGGCTGCATTTCAATTTCTCATGATCATTCTAATTTCTAATTTGAATGCATAGAGAAATGAGAAAAGTTGGGTTACATCATATCACATTATAAATATGTGCTCCACTCTCTCTCGTCCCTGTGCCGTACAATGATTGCATTTTTGATTCAATAATAAATTGAATTTCGCTTCACTACAATTATCTCAAAGCTATTGTATGGTTCGCTGCCGTGATGACGTTGACCCGTTCTGATGAAAAGACATTTTTGTACATTCATATTTTGGATCCTGTAGCAGTAATAAAAGTTCAATATGTACATATGCATGCATCCAGAGTGAGTGTAGTATGTACGTACATATGTGAATGTACCTTATTTCTATCAGTAGTATATGTAGTGCTACATACCAACAACGCCAAGAAAGGTGATGAATTCAATTTACTTTTTTGCTGTTTTTACCTTAGTAAGAATTTTGACTACTTAATTCCTTTTGAGAAATAGGAATTTTGTAATTAGCCATTTAATCATAACTAAATAGCTGCATAAATACTTACACAAAAGCTAATCCTTAATCTCTCGATCACTTTGATCACTTCTGCATGTTTAGAAAAAAGGGAAAAACTAAACAAGTTCCTTCTTCCTTAAAATTTCAAATATTATCAAGGATAAAAAACATATAATGGGTAGGCAGCAATTACGGATGGTTGTTATTACACATCCATGTGGTTGACGGTACATGCATGCATGTTTTGTATAATTTTTGCAAAATTGCTTAGCTATTTAGCTAGCCGAACTGGCCATTATTTCTGCTGCCACTCAAGCTAATCATCCATGAGAAGATTGAATCTAGTGCACGTTATGAATGTGAATAGAACGTATGGTCATTTCTGTCAGAAATACCAACGAAATGTGCAGTGCTTAATTCAGTCAATAATTTTAACAAAACATGAATTCGACAGAAAACCGCAACTTTTAATTATCTCCGGTCTAAATTGCTTAAATAAGTGAAATATTCCCTGTTATCTCTTTGCGTTCTGTTATGATCATGATGAAGATGATGATGCTGTGGTGATAGGATGATGGAGAGTTTGCCCATCATCCATCCATTCACTACATCAAATTGAGATTTGTTGCATGAACACAGCTACTTCCTTGCCTGTGGCCTGATTGAATTCGGTTAGATTTGCTAGATTTCAATGCAGTGATATTATTTATTCCGTTTTAATCTCAAATAGTGTTGCGCATACCAGCAGAAAATTAAACAAAGCTTGCATAAACAGAAAGGCATGACTCATTTCAGTTATTAGTTTTCCCTTCATTTGAATAATGACGTGTTATGAGTACAGCCAATTATTTCAATTTCAAATTCTGGTAACAAGTCTCATTAAATTGTGCTTATTATTAGAAAAGAATTTGTCCTTTGTTGTAGTAACAAACAACGACATTTTGCTCAGTTATGCAAAACCAAAACCAAGCAAACCACAACAAAGACAAACCCAAACTCGACTTTAATGAATAACAACTGCCAACAAACTAGCACTAACTTTGTCGCACCAGCAGCAAACCTCATCTCACCCGTCGTAGTATTATACGTACGTAAGTTCGTATATTCAACTCCAGTGCAAAAAAGTGGTGCCCCACTTTCTTATTTTTATGAGAACTTCCGTTAAAAATCAATCATTCAAGATCCAATCAACCGTTTCAATTAATCTACCATTACCACTTATTCTCTTCCTATCCCACAGAGATAAACACGGCCTGCACTCTTGTTAGAATACCATCACACTCTAACTGTGCGTATCAGTATCATCCTAAGTAGTTAAACTATGTGCATACGTTCTCTAAATACGTGCCTATGTGGCGTCTATGTTTCAACTTAAACTTTCAATTTTAAAATTATTCTAATTAAAATGCGGCAAAGTTTTCAGATCAAATAAAAGTTGCTTCATTAAATAAATTATAGGCAGACGCCTAGTGAAATATATGCATACGTATGCACATGATCAGTATATCGAAGCATTTGACGAAGCAAACTGGCACACAAGAACAACAATCCCATCAGAATCCCCTCTTGCAAAAAAGAACAAATATTAATTTTTATCCATCCAGCACCAAGTTTGCATACAAATGAGAATAAAAACCAGAAATAGATGAATTGGTTTTTATCGTTGACTTGAATTTTAAATTCTCGAAACAAATGCTTCTGTTGTTGTGCTTGATGCTGTGTGTGTGTGAAGGAAAGAGTAAAGTCGAGCTTTGAACGTTGTTCCCGCCACCTTCGTCTCACGCGCAGTTTCTAGCATCTGTATGTGTGATGACTTTTATCGGTCACATCAACCATCACAACAGGAGCTAAAATTTTTCTCTCTCTGAACAAATATTTGTTTTCAAACAAATTGACAAACTTAAAAGTGAACAACCGGACAATTTTTCAATAATGGACGAGGCAAGTGACATGACATGGTAAGTAAACACAATTAACTGTATTTAAGGCCTTATTCAAGGGACAATTTTTATTTTCAGGGAAGAGTTGGAAGAAGGCGAACATCCTCTTCGATTCTGGGAGAGGATGGATTACTGGAGTGAAATGGAAAGAGCACGTCATCGTCAACAAATTGACTTGACTCCCTATCCCTCCACGGTCACCGGAGCCACAAGTTGTACAGGAGGGAGAACATGTCGAGGTCGGTGAAGGACATCAAGTTGATGACGAAGACAGGAGCGCATCTGGTCGTCCTCCCAAAAGGAAAAGTTTCAAGGGTCGATCCGACTCTTACGCCCGACAAATGGCTGTGGCGGCTGTGCCTGAAGATGTAAGTCGAATTATTGTAATATTTTGAAATTCTTGTACCCTTAACTCTTGCCCCTTTAAGGCCATTACATTGGGGCGTGTTTCTTGTGGTACAGGTGATGGCGATAGTTCCGATCGACGCGGCTCGATTGTACTCCCCTAATGAGGCCTTGGATCGCATACGAATTAGTTTTTTGGCCTGGATTAACAATCTGAAGAAGAAGGATGACGACGGTGTGGAATCCTGGATGGATAGGGCCCAGTATAGGAGGTCAAACTACAGCTGGTCAAGGAATAAGAATACTGGAAAATATTGCTACTTCATTGCAACTCCAACCGTTAAACGCCCTGATATGCGAGGAACATTGGGTTCAAGGTTTATGACTGAGTGGTTAAAGGAGATGTCCGCGCTGAGGCGAGAATATATTCAATGGAGGAGCCAGTTGGAAAGTGTCCGTGAGGTTAGCAGGGTCGCCATGTCAAAACAACGAAAAACCAATCCTCGTCATGCAACGAGCTATTTGCTGGAAATCCGCGAGCTGGACCCTGGCATCATCCGGTCCTATGTGTCAGGGACCCTTTCGTGGGAAGAAATTACCCGATATCCGGCCATAAAAATCTGGAGGTATCCAGGTGTAACGGAGTCAATTAATGCACAATTATCGGCAAGAGGACACCATTTTGTCGCAGACCCTACTATAGCAAAATCTCTGGTTCACGACAAAATGCGAGAAATCGGAACCGACAATTGCATTTGTATCGAAGTATACGCCCACCTCTGTGATAGTATGTATACGGCTCAGCTGGGCGAATCTTACACCATGGTAAGAATATTTACAGTTTACTTATTATGTAATACATTCAATACAATTGTTTCATGTTGAATATTGTAGACGTATGCTTCGAAGTACAACGAATTGAAAAAGGCAGGACATATCATCAGCAACATTGAGTACATCATTTCTCGTCCCGATGCGGCCCTAAAAACTAAGCTGATTCCTGTTGCTGAGAAGGACGCCATCGATGGAAAACAGCTGTACGAGATTGTTCCGCCCACGGACCTGCGTCACCCTCCTCACCATGCAAACGACAAGGAGATTCGACAACTGCCCTATAAAATTTACCAATCATCAATGATTGAAAAATTCATTACAGGAACGCGTGGAGACCAGCAAAACGTTTGGCCGCATGTGTATGACGCTGAGCGTGACCTGCCCCGTATCACGCTTTAGAGTTTTGTATGTATTGTTTATTTATTCTATTGTATTAATCTTTGTTTCTTATTTTTCCTGACATAGTTGTCAGTCGATATTTTTTTATTTATGAGACATGAACTTATTAGTGAATTACATGACGTGTAATAAAAATGTGACGTGTAATAGAATTTTATTTTATTACACGTTTTATACAAAGGCAATAATACGCCGGATCCACATTCAATTCCCTTCTCATCTTTAAAGACTTTTGCACCTGCACTGCCGCCACAAGCAGCAGCAGCAGCGTCAGACAGCAACTTTTTTGAGGGCTGAACTTTACCAATTTCAGATCAGGCATTGAATCGAAGGCTGCTGTTGGTGTGGTCTGGATAGATAAATGTTTCCTATTCACTACAATTTATTTTACTTTTACTTTTCCAATGGATATTTCTTCTGGTGTTGCCTTCCTTCCTTGCCTCCTCGGATTGTGTAATGAGAATGGGAGAGAACAGACAAAGTAAACTATTGTGTAGAATTCTTTTCCTCCGAACAATTTACATAAGAAATTCGTTCTCTTTTTTTAAAGCTTCATTTTTCTAACAACAAAGAAAAAGATCGATTTTACTCTTACTACACTGTACTCGTGCTTGCATACTTACTCCACTTCTTTGCTCTTTCACAGTGTCATACTCATCCTCAGAGAAAGCTTATATACTTTTACTACTACCACCAAGTTGAGAAAGTTGATTTTTCTCAATTCTTCTCCCTCCTCCCTGGAATCTAAACTTGTATTATGCAGAAGAAAAAACTATTGAATTCCTCCAGTACATAATTTCATATTACTGTTTTGTATTTATGCACCCTCTTCCAATTCAATAATAAAAACTCGGATCTCTCAGTTTCAACTAACAAGTATGGAAGTAAGCAGTCGTATGTATGTATGTGCATACGTGTAGACCTAACAAGCGAGTAGTGAGACTTTTGTCTCGACTAGTATTTTTTCTCAAAATATTTAGCAAACTTTTCCTTCGCATACTAATTCCCCTAATATTTGCAGTTGGAGGATTATTACTTATTAACGGGACCCCTCTTATTGTATGTAAAACAACAAAGACATCAAAGTACGTACGTACATATATATATACGGACACAATACGTACTACGAGACAAAATGGATGAGGCTGTCGAACCCCAACCTTTGAAGACCCGCTAGGTCAAAATGGCCAATCAATTTAAATCCGCAGCTGCCTTTTTTGCCATCACTTCGACTACCACCATCGTCATGATCATCAAATAAGCACTCATCCTAATGTGATTAACATATGGCAGGTGAGCGAGTGCGGTGAGTCTTTGGCGTGTGTCTGACTGACTGACAAAGCGGGTGTTGGAAGGGGAATACGTAAGATTGGACCCTAATATCGCGTCCTAATATGAACCAAATAAAAATCTGATCAGGTAAAACCAGTTATTTCCTAAACTGTGCAGCAGATGGACAACTAGTTCGTAATCTTTGATGCTATTGTTGTTGTGGCTCACGATACAGGTAGCTAAGTATTCATTTAGAAAGGCTTGCCTGGAAATCTGTGGCATTATTTTTACATTAATAAAATGAACTTGTGCTACGTTTAAATCTTTTCCTTTGATTGCAGAGCCAGTCAGTGATGTGGAAGATACCTGAATTACGAGTCTTGTAAAAAAAGTTGTGTTGAAAGTTAAAGGGCTGAACGAAATATTATTATCATTTTATTTTCTCCATTGTTTCATTTATATATTCAGGGGCTCAGATTAAAAGCATTGACGTAAATCTTGTCAGCCAAATTCTAATAAGATTTATGCCAAATTATTCTCTCCTCTTATGTTAAATGCATGATGAGTCGCGAGGAACTTTCTTTCTTTAACTTTCAGCAGGTCTTTATTAGGAATGTTATTTTTATTTTGTACCTATTGAAATTCTGGGAGAAAGAAACAAAGAAACTTTGCGAGATTCCTAATACGAGGACACGTAGAAAATAAAACAAAGCTTGGAATAACTTAGCATAATGAAATTCCCCGATTTTGAATACTCTGCTATATGTACGTGAAGAGCGGAAAATAGAGTTTTGTTGGTGGGTGATTTAGTTTATGCTATGCTGGCCTCCTAAATATATACGCGATCTGTATTTGTACCGTTGGGGTCGTCGGGCAGGCACCCCTTTTATGCATACTTGAAACTTGGTTCTATATTTTGTGTGTGTTGTATGTATTTTGTGTAAATGTCGAGAATCTCAATCATTCATACGGGCACCCATGTATACATACTCAATTGTCCCCTCATCTCTGGAAGCCAATGTTGTTTCTCACAAAATCAGCCTGCCAAACAAAGCTGCCAAACACAACCAGTCAATTCTGCCCTCTAAATCCGTCTAAATACCAACTCTCTCTCTCTCTCTCGTAACTTTAAATCCAGGAAGATGCGCACAAAATAAAACTGATTCATTGTTTCGGTGTGACTTTAGAGTCGTATGCAATCGCATGTGAGAAAGCAAAAAGATGAGATCAGATTGCTGATGTTTGTGCTACTGCTTGGGATGCTGTTGGTCGGTGGTGGTGGGGAGGCAGGGAAAGATTTGCAAGGGAAAGATGCATACTAAAGCAGAGAGGATGAGAAAGTGGTGAGAGAGCAGCATTCTAGTCCATAACTTTTATCGAATTTCACCAAATCAGCCAGTGAATATCAACGAGATTTGAAAGACGCATTAGTGACCATACATAAAACATGATTCCAGTGTATAAAGTTGCTCTGCTTCGTCCGACGACTCTGGTCACACCGAAAGTAGTAACAGGGGCCTTATGCTAACTTTGGATTGCTTAGATCGGCTTTCCCTCTGGATGATGTGATGTGGTGATGATGGCTGAGGTTGATCGCTGCTGATGGTATGTGCCAGTGTATTTACACTCCAGTAAACTTCTGTCCGAGTTTGGTGGTGGTATCACACCTCACACAACCACACCACTACTTTCTCCTCTCTCGTTCCCTCTTTCACCACGTTCCGTACTTCCTTGTGCTCTCCTCTGGTGTTGCATGAATGAATATCCTTCAAAAGTTTACCGCAATCACCAACCAAACCAACCACCACAAAACTGGAAGCAACCAAGAATTTTATTACTTTACCACACTATCCCAATCAAGTCCAACCAGCTTTGATGGAAGAGGAGATACTTAATACAGTGCAATGTAATCCAGCCCAAATATTTAACACCAACTTTTTTTCAACTGCCGACCAAAAAACTCTCAAGAATTATAACTTGTTCTCCAACTTTGTCTCAATTTGCAAATGATTTTTGTCCGTCCACTCACTGACTGCGTACAAATATGAGTCTTTTAACTTTTCCGACTTGCTTTCACTCTTCGTGCAAACGCTGGACTGTTATCTCAATGTTGTCCGAATGACGGTGATGAGGGGTCTCACGTGCAGGAGTGAAGATGAGATTGGAGGAGCGAGAGAAAGAGAGATCTTTGTGGGCTGAGACGCCGTTGCAGACTGACTGATGCTGGGATGGGGCAAATGGTTCCTCGCCGTACTCGTACCCCTTCCTCCTCCGACTGCTTTTGGGACCGCCGTCGTCTCTTTCCAACACCCAGCAAAGCATGCATCCATTCGCTTACTTTGTCGAACTCAAACGATCCCAAAACCAAAAGCTCTATCTGCGAGGACTGCTTTTACTACTACGTACATACTTAAATACGTAAGGACGTACAACTTCTCGTCCACTTGTACACTACAAAAGACTTAGTTACCCTTGTGGCTTACTGCATGCTGGGTTTACTGGATTGGATTAAATTGGAGCTTTGGTATGGGCACAGGCACTTTACAAGACCTGGAAAACAGCAGCAGTGCATATATGTACCTTTCAAATTATCAACGCCACTATGTATATGCATTACACTGATGGCTGTTATGATATTGTTGCATGCATGCATGAAATGGGAGTACAAATTGTGTTTAGACGTCGTATGTATATCAACTGGTTTGACTAATTAACGGATGATGAACAAGTCTTTGGTAGCGAATATTTACTTGTGAGGATTCTAGCTGATGATGAGAAATTTAGAGTCTCAAAATAATACAAACGTATCGAGTATGTTAATTAAGAAGGATGGGAAGATGCTCCCTTTTAAATTGGAAGCTTTTTTAAGTAAAATTCCAATTTTCTCAAAATTAGTCTCAATGAATGCGGAACTGGTAGTAGTTACACAACGAACCGGCATTAGTAGTTTGTAATTCCATTGGAACATGCATGAGTGAGATTTAGATTAGAGAACAGTTTAATTTCACGACAGTTAAAAACTACAACGACACGAAAAACTCAACAACATAGTCAAAACAGGAACAAGAACACCGAGTGACAAAAGTCTAAGATAAGAAAAGTTGTGTTGGAATTCGTTTAGTATCTCATTGTTCGTGAAATGGCAAAGATTTTTAAAAACATCTATTTGTCACGCATCAAATAATTTTTCCATCCAATCTCAAATCCAATTATTTTTTACGTTTATTATAGGAACAGAGGCAGCCAGCACAACATGCTTGATGGAAAACAAAACCAAAAAGTTTTTGCCTAAAGAAGAATAAAAAGCTCCGATGGTGGTACGTAAGGTTGCATTGTCCACTTTGTTCTTTCGGGATGAAATCATGAAAACTGTGCATTGTAAGAGTTCAATGAGTTGGGAAGACTAATCCTCTTCATCCTTCACAACCAAGCCGAAACTTACTTCAAACTATTTTTCAATTAAATCGGTCAAAAATTACGATCAAGTCTAATCCATCTCGAGTTTAATGCTCAGCAAACACTTGGGTTTACTTTGTACTTATTTATTGCATATTCTCCCACAAAATTCTTTTACTTTTACTCTAAAATAAATACTAAATAAACACTTGTCAGAAATTTTAAATTAGTTTGGCCCACAACGTGCTTTGTAGTTAATCTTCTAACTGATTACATGGGATTTTGCAGAGGATTCCTTCTTCTCTCTAGCCACGCAACATTGGGAGAGTGCATAAAATTCAGTTAAGTTGAGTTCAATCAGATTCAGATCAGATCCCTAAATCTTTCATGACTGAAATTGAAGGCAATTTACCACCAATTCGCTACTCTCGAAGCGTGTATGCAACAGCAGTTCAGTTCTGTGGCAAGTTGCAAGAAAGCAAAAGTTAACTAGATCGATGAGGTAATAATAAATGTCATTGCCGGTTAAAGTAACGTACAACAAATGCAAGGACGAAATTGCTGTTTTGCTTAGGATTAGGATTAGCCGTAGTACAAGATAGATTAAAAATGCATACATCACAATAGAGCATACACGAGAATAAAGAAGAGTGTGTACATTCAAATTCGAAGGAAAATTTCAATCTCTGGACTTGGATCAGATTTGCACACTATTATGTACGAGCACTAGCAATCATCTTAAATAGGAACCAATATTATTGTATTAACCATATTCCTGATTTTAGGATTCTCGTGAAACCACCTTCCACTCGTATCAAGTATATTTACATATGGCTGTGTATAAGATAGCATGGTGATGGAGGGGTGGTACTATTTTGTTATGCTGCTGCTAATCATCATTCATAGTGGGGAATTGACTGACTATTGTATGATTCTAATGGAAAGAAGAAAAAAATGACCCAATCAAAAACCATACAAAGGGAACAAAATTGAAGGCTCGTAAAAAATGAAAAGGAAAGTTTTTGGATTTTTTTCAATACATTCTATTTATGAATCAACTGCCAACGACGTATATACTTTCCTCTATCAACCAAGTTTTTTTTCCCGAGACTTCACTAGCTCAGCTCTGATATGTACATACATACGTGGTTCAACTTGCTTGAATGTAAGTACGTACATGTGAATATAAATAGGTATGTAGGTAGGCATCGCAAGGAGAGCACCAAATTTTCTTCGTCACCACAGATTCTCAACAATGTCATCCAAAATTGAGTCCGTTGTGAGTGGGATATATATATGCATATGAAATAATATATTCAGCGTACATATAAATACGTGCATACATATATTTTATGTATATATGTACATACTACATATAGGGTCGCTTGTGTTGGTTATTGGACATTATTCATGGAAAATGAAAGAACACTCAATATTTTCACTTTTGATTACTTCTATTCAAGTTCAAACGACTTTTTTTGTGTAAAAATGTTATGCATTATTAGATCAAAATTGATAGAAATTGTTTGTGAACTTCAAATTAATTTCATTTAACCCAGGGGGACTTATCCTAGCGAGTATGTTTGAGTGGGTGGAGGATGCTCTCATTCGTTACGAACCGCATGCAGTACCATTTATGAAAATTTCAATATCTTATATTGTGCTGTGACAACCACCCACCCACTCATTCAAATATGCACGTGACATTTGACATTTATCGTAGAAAATATATTATAATAAAGGAATGTTTAAATTGTGCAGATTTTTGTGAAGGAGCAAAAGTATGATTAATTTGCCCTCGTTATGTGCCACTGATGAGAGTATCACATTGCAAACTAGGAGATTTTAATACAAATCCAACTTCACGGCTGAGTCCCCGAAGAGCTCCTTCCGTTTGTATCGCATCATCACATCATATGAATTAGGTAGAGACAAAGCACAAAGTAAAACGTGTGGAGGTAAAAAGTGGTGCTTAATTTTATGCATGGTTTCACAAAACATGAGAGTTTACTATTAATACGGAAGTCCACACAGAATAATTTCTAATGTCATTCACTTCAAAATGGGCCACATTTTTTTCATGCTAAAAACTATTACCAACAAAGAAAGGCTAATTGTAAACTTAAAACTAAATCCAATTTTATCATTTGCCGTGCCCTCCAACCAATATTCATTCTCCGCACTAATGTCGTGTCTCAAGTTACAATATCTGCGACGATGCAGATGAGAATGACAGTTTGAAAATGAAAAAGACTGTGTGTGTGTGCAGTACGTGTATAAAGGCTGCAGAATAAATTCCCTTCACTACCGAGGCTCAATTTTCCACTTTACTCTTGTAAAACAGCAATATCATTCTAAATTATTGAATAAGTGGGGAGCGTACACATAGAAAAAGAACGAAAGCAATTGTTACGAGATTCACAAATTTGAATAAAGTCGTGTATTAAATGTGTCTTGCACGATACCTGTTGTCAATTATGTGATGCTATGTTTCTTGCAAATGACTGGAAGCACTTAAGTGACGTGAAATTGTGTTGCTTGATTGGCGATTCACTTTCCACATATGAAAATTTGAGAATATTATTCAAAATTCAACAACAAAGTTGTCTCACACTAATCTCTTTCTCTACAAATAGAACAATGTTATTTATAAGTACTCGGGTTGTCAGACACTACAGGTTCCAAGGGTATAAATAAATTCTCATTACTAAAACAAACATCACTCGCATTAATTGTCGTAGAATGAATGCCGTTATGTGCAACTGAAAAGTAGTGGATTCATTGTCCATTTCTTGTGCATGCTTCTGGCAACCTTTTTAATGTCTTAAAAGAAAATTACTCGAAACAATAAACTGTTTGTAAATAACACGAAATAAACTGTGCGACATGTGGTCGATTGGTTATACCTCGAAAAACTAAAACAACCAACAGAGTGTGGTGAACTTTTGTTATTTTCTGCAAGCAAACTTGTCTCTATGCACTGGCAATATGTATATTCAAATATGCAATTGTCCATGCAAACCTTTCGCAGACTCGAATACAACAAACTATATTGTTTTAGCTTTCTTTTAGCCGTATGCAGTGTATGCTTGTTGGTACTCGTCTGAATTCAAAGAGTTGAACCTGCGGGTCCATGCCATGCCACAACATTGTCCATCCATCCACTCTCCAAGAAAAAAGAGATCACTATTATAAAGGTATAAAAGTGGTCAAGGAAAGGAGGAAGATGAGCTCACTTGAAGCATGCATGTACATATGCGTACATACAACAATCGGAGGGTAGTTAGTTGGAGGAGAGCATATGCACGTATGGACAGAGGGGAAGGTGCGGGGAATGGAATTGTTGAGCACAATTGTTCCACACTCTCTGCATGCATGCTTGTACACGTCCCCAACCAACCACCTTGCTTTCGAATTGGAGATGCGATGATGGAGCACACGGCCCAAAGAAGAAGATCTTCAACTTGGAGAAGATGAAGCAGCAAGGATTATT